TCTGAATTGTTGTAGGTTACGTGACTTTGCCTCGTTAGTTGTTCACCATGTGCGTGTGTGCGTATGTTTGTGGCCGCTGCACAGGTGGACTGGGTCTTGAGCTGAATACCATTGGTACTGTTCTCGCCATTGTGGGTGTCGCACAGCTGCCACTGCAGACCTTTGTTGTTCCCATAGTAAGTTAGTTGGCTGTGTTCACTGCACTGGCAATTAATTGAGCTACATTTCACAGTATTGAATTATTTTGAAGACAGGGTACAAGTATGGTGTGTCAACGTTAGCCCCTACTTTCCTCCCAGCTGAATTCTACTATGTTTCAGTTTCTTTTTTGTCCTGGGTATAATGCACGATGGTGTATGGCGTAGCATGGTGTATGGCGTAGCATGGTGTATGGCGTAGCAGGGTGTGCATAAGTTATATACAGTGTTCTAAGTTACAGACTGTTTCTGAGTAACGGTGCCAATCAGTCCCAAGGTGCCTGCGTGAGAGAGGGTCTTGTTCTTGCAGAGAAAAGTGATATACTGGCAGCCATATATGCAGGGTCACAAGGGTACGACATGGCATTCGAACGAAAAGATACGAGGGAAGCCATAATGAAGGCTGCAACGCTAACACTAACCTGGCACATCCTCGCTGCATGGTTTGACGTGCATGGCTTTAGGGTGGTCAATGTCATTGATAGCAGTGCTTTTGGTGTTTTCTTACTCTTCATTGTTTTGCAGTTTGAGCGGCGACTGGGCGCAAGAAAGGTATGCATGCTGTGTGTTAGCTGATATGTAGAGCTGCTTTGTAGCTAGCCCTGTGCTTGTGTGCAAATGCTGGTCATGCATTCAGTCATGTTACTTTGAAGTACGTTGATTGCTACACTGATCATCCAGCCAGTGTTCTAGTCAGAGGGATATGCTTTGTCCACCACCGCATCGATGTGTCCTTTCTCGCCACACCAGCAACATGCACTACCTGGCCTGTCCGCTAAAAAATGGGGCATGTGTGTGTGCGTCCGTGCGTTCACCGTCTTATATATACGTGCACGCTGCATATGTGACTATTATGTGTGTTTATCTTTTTATCTTCTACAGTGCTTTGGTGTCATGAGTATACCTCTGATCATCAGTACAGCCATTATGCCATCCCTGACTTCAATGGCCAGGTAAGGATAGTGTTGTGTGTGTACAATGGTCATGCATTTCCGCTAGGTGTTGGTGTAAGCATGAACATGTATCACAACTTGTCTGTGTGTGCGTGCATGTGTGTGCATGTGTGTGTGTGTGTGTGTGTGTGTGTGTGTGTGTGTGTGTGTGTGTGTGTGTGTGTGTGTGTGTGTGTATGTTCGGTGTGTGTGTGCGTGGTGTGTGTGTGCGTGGTGTGTGTGTGTGTGTGCGTGGTGTGTGTGTGTGTGCGTGGTGTGTGTGTGTGTGCGTGGTGTGTGTGTGTGCGTGTGTGTGTGTGTGCGGTGTGCATGTATGCTTTTCACTGATCTTTGCATGTTACAAGAGTAGTGGTGCTACTGGCATCAACACTTGTGCTTTTCCACGTCTGGTATACGTCTACAGCTGTGCCTGCTCTGACCCTGAGACAACTGGATCAAACGGATGTCCATGCCTTATGTTTCTGTTGTCTAAGGCTTAGAGTATTCAGAGCTTGTGCCCCGTAGACCAAGATATTAGTGGGTCTGCAATGGATGCACCGGCTGCTCTTGGGATTGTAGCCGTGTAGTGCCTTACCACTACACTTTGTACATTCCATATCCGTAACAGCATGTTATTGTGTTTATAGGTTTTTTCTATGTGTCTGTGTGTCGGTGTGTTTTCCACTCAGCTCCAGTGCAGTCATTCCTACCCTGGTCATTGTTCAGCTGGTGCACAAGTTTAGCAACGGCGGTTCATTTGTTTGTCTTATGCTGATGATCAACAACTCAGTTGAGACTCATGACCTTGGCGCTGCCAATGGCCTGGCAATGTCTATGACGGGGTGCTTCCGGTAAGAAGAATTAGCACTTATTGTGCAGCTCAATGAAATCTAGTCGCGTGAGTCAAGTATGCGCCAGGTGCTGTGCAGCCCCCGACCTGCCCACCCTGGGCTGTGCACTATTGCAGGGTGCTAGCTTGACTCATGCGAACGGATATTTCATTGAGGAGCACTCCAGTATGCATGGTGTGGAAAATGTAGTGCTATTCTCCAGCTACAGTGCTACATGACATTCTTCTATTGTACTTCTATTCAGATTTTACCTGGTGGGCTCTATATTTTCAGTACTGTCGGTGCTGAACCCTGCCACTGAAAAAGACAAACCACGTTTAGATTTTAGTTCCAAGTCTCAACCAATCCCATCAGAATTGTGGTAGACGCTCGTTTTGCACGTAGTCGAGTAGCACTCCTGTCGTTGTGGTTTTGTCTTGCCTGTGCCGGTGTGTGTGTGTGTGTGTGTGTGTGTGTGTGCGCGCGCGCGCGTGTGGCACTTCACCCAACCTGGCCTAGAAGGGCCAATATTTGCCCGGCACCAAACGATTATGAAGACCGCTGGCTCCCGCGGCATGTGCTACGGATGCGGTGGCGGGTCCATGTCAACAGATGCGATCAAGTTACGGATGACATGTTCAACCACCCAGTCTTCTGGTTGCTTCTGGCAATTTCCGCTTTTGGTTTGTCAATGGCTCTCTACTTCTTTCTCCCTCAAATGAACGCAGCGCTCACTTTACTAAGCAGTATCTTCTTACTGCTTATTATCTCGGGCGTGGCGGCCTTCAGGGGACGCTGGATCAAGCACCTCTGTCCAGCCAGGCAGGACCCAGTTGAACCTCAGATTCCGGCTATGCCTGCTATTCCATTGCCACCATCACCACCACAGCCACCACCACCACCGCCACCACCAATACCACCACCCACAGCGAGCACCGCTAGCAGTCCGGAGGAGCCAGCTTGCCGGCCAACTCATCTGGAGCTGAACGGTGTACTGTCCACAGCACCGCCACCCTCGTATGCCAGCGTGTGCGTCATACTGCCTGGTCACCAACACTCTGAAGGGACGGGAACACCTCCGCCTGCTTACACCAGTGATATGTTGCATCGTTCTAGAACGTGTCACAATCTCTCAGTTCCCCAGTCACATGCTGTCCAGGTTGCTTCATATATTATCGTTTCACCAAATGACAATGAAGAGCGGACGATGATGATCTCAAGCAGTATACACCTACGCCTATCTCAGGCTCCTACGCTCTGCACTGCCACTTTGCGCTTGTGCCCACCACAACTTCACACACAAGGCTGGTTGAGTCCTGCCGAATCGGATGTGGACGTAGAGGCAGGTTCGCATGAAGTGCACGTGCTTCATCATCCGACTCCTATCATAAGTCCAGTGTCGGAGTGAGTGAGTATGTGTGGTGGTGGTGATGGTGTGGGCACGTGCGCGCGCGCGCGTGTGTGTGTGTGTGTGTGTGTGTCAGCCAGTGTATGCCGGAGTATGTGGTGTGGTGTGTGTGTAAAAAAATGGAAAAATGAAAAATAGGGATTCACTGGCCAGAAAAAGTCACTTCAAACAGCTGTGTGGTGGATACCAGGCTAAAAATAGTGGCGGTCAATTTATCAGCCTTGCAAGCAGTTGAATGGTGTAATCCCAGCATAAGTTGCTATGTCTAACATAGCTGTTCGCTATCATCGCTTCCGCGATGGGCATGTCTGAGGTGTGCGTGCGTGTGTGTAGAGCTGTAATAATGTGCATCTCCTTTCTGTGCATTCCCTTCTCCGACGTGTTTTGTCCTGCCACAGCTCCCTTGCACCACTTGCCTGTGGGAGCATATTTGCTTGGTCCATCGATGGTGAGCATGTCTTTCCGTTTGATTACCACCTGGTATTCTTCCTACTGAGCTTCCTCTTCTTGTGCACATCCATCGCTAGCACCCGTGTCTCTGATCTTGTGGATAAGAAGCTCGGTACACATGCCGATGACGTGGATGTGAGACAAGAAGAAAATAATGCACCTGGTGTAGCAGTAGCTGCTGATGCGGAGCAAGCGAACCAAATCGAAGATGTACTAGAGGAAGCAGTGTGACGGCTTGTACACTTGCATCAACTGAGGTTTGCCCGCCTCCCCTTGGCTTAGAAGTATGGGTTGTCCTGGCTAGTAAGCCCAATAATGCATGATATTTATGGTTATTGATCTTGTGGCTGTTGTCCACTTTTTTTCTTTTTCTTTTTTTCCAGTTTTGGGTTCTGAATTATTATTCCTGACCAACAAGACATAAGTGAAATACCTTGTACTTGTATCATATGTCTTCTTCTCAATATTTACTCATCACCGGTATTAGTTAGCTTAGTTCGCTCGCAGCAAAGGACATAACCCCAAGCCACATAGCGCAAACCACTTCTCTTCGCTTGAAACCTCTTCCACTCTTCCTTTCTTATTCCTTTACCACCACTTATGGCTCCTGTTTGCCAGGATGTCGGCTTTTCCGCACTCTCCATTACGACTGATTACGCTATTCTCCCTCTCATGAAAGTCCCCTAATCACCGACACAAACCCTGCATCAAAATAGTACACGGATTCTTTGTAGTGCTTACCGAGTGGATCATGACCTTTATATTATACGACGTAAGTTTCAGCTCTACCACAAAAATTATAAACCATTTAATTTATTGTCACAAAGAAAATTCACACTGATCCTGTGTGGAGATGTACATGTATACTGTTGACCAATTTCAACGACTCCCTGATCCTGCCAACTTGTTGAGCTTTGTTCCCCTGGCTTCAACATACAATGTCCACACGACTTCTTCCTGTGTTGAATGATGATTACAATGTCCACGACTTCTTCCTGTGTTGAATGATGATACGTGCATTACAGTGGGGATTGCCACTTGTGTGTGCCTGGTTCTTCTTCTTGAAGTAGCATTATTTGTTTAGCCCTGGTGTGTGTGTGGGGGGGGGGGGGGGAGGTTGCATGAGTTCGCTCGTGATATAAGTAAAGATGATCTTGTCCAGATGCTGGAGGGCGGAGGCGCCATGCCGTGGTATGTGTCTTCCGTTGACTGTATGGCTATGCAACTAACTAAAGTTACTTCAGTTCAAGTACTGTAAAAGCAGAAATTTTCGGTGGTGTTTTATTTTCGGTAACTTCGGTGCGGACAATTTTTACCGATAATAAAACGCACCGAAAATTTCGGTACAACCGATACTGTATACCAGGGAGCCCTACACATACCGGTAGGTGTAGGGCTCCCTACTGCTGATGTACTACAATCAAGAGAACACGAATGTTTGCATGACTGATTGTACTCTTGCTACACATTACACTCTTGTTACTATGACAGTATGAGTATGACATACATTGGATTTTAGTATTTTGGATTTTGGTATTAATTTTTTATCCGCTTGGTTTTGGCACTTCTGGGGAATCCCCATTGCTATTCAAAGTATTATTTTTAGTTTGTGTCGACTCCTCACATGCACACGTATCGCGTAGATCTGTACAAAAGTAGGCTACAAAAAATGTAGGCAGCTACATAGCTACACTCTTTCATGCAGTGTGGAAGTACGTGTCCGTGTTGAGTTTTGCTACAGATTTCTTACGGTCCATGCACGAGTGCAGTGTTTTTGTGAGAATCTTTTCACTGTGAGGAAGATAGCTTCAGAACAAGCCGCAGTCCGTCCGGGTTCACCCGGTTGACATCATTTTCTTTCCGTGGACCATGAGCTAGCCGTGGTTACAGTACGAATATCGGTTTCTGAATTCCAATATTTTGTAATACAATGTAAAATTGTTCTTAAAAATAGAACTTGAGTAATAGCGAAACTTTTCAAATTAATTTCCATTCAGTCAGGCCCGGCGTAGACAGTGCTTCGCTAGTTATATCATTATAGCCAATATAGGTGTAATATTGGCTAGTGTTGCTACCACGGGCGGACCACATGGCGCCCGTCTTGCTGTGTTTCTTACTGGGCATCATCGGGGTATGTCTAGCAGTTCTCTTGCCCATTCTTCTCGACTTGTTACTGAGCATTCTGGAATTCTTCGGATTTCAGCCATGGTATGTATGTCCACCTTGCACGACATGTCCTTGTCAATAGCGATATCAGTGCAGTAATCAGCTATTCTGCTTCTGTAGTGTTCAGAGGCTCTGGGCAAATTTGGATTGTCTAGTCCTTTGCAGATTTCGGACTACATTTCGGAATTCCAATATTGGATTTTGATCATCAGAGAACAGTCCGTAGTCTTAGAGTCAGTGCCATGTACGATGTAGTCTAGTTGTGCGTGTACATGGTCCGGTGGTTTCGTCGGTGCAGGCGTTCTCTGCACGTTTCACGTCTAATGCTGCGGCTGAACACAATCAGCGACAAGGCCGAGTACTTGATCATGCTCCTGGTGTTCTTCTTCATCACAATGCCAATCTACTTCCATTTCTTCGACGTCATGCCGTTCTTCCTGGTAAGCCGCTCACACACTATACGTGTATTACCGAAAAAGCCCCTGTATACGCCCACTCGAAATTACGCCCACCCTCCGTGTACACGCCCAGTCAGGGGAAGTCAACACTTTTGTTTCAAAATAGCGCCCATGCCCATGTATACGCCCAGGTATGCTGGCAACACCAGTACATGTACAGGTACTGGTACCCAATACTTACTGCTATCCCTATTCGGATTCCCAGTATACGCCTGGTTCCGAAATAACGCCCGTGCCCTTGTATACGCCCAGGAAATCGAGGCTGCTATTCTATACGCCCGGGGCCTATACACAGGCTTTTACGGTAGCACACGGTGGCTGTGTCATAACGTGTACTTTGTAGTAGGAACTATCAACGGCTCACTTACTATACCTGAGTCAGCACACCGTGCACTATCAGTTTCACTATCAATGCACATTATCATCCTTGCCAGGCAGACCCCCCCCCCCCCACACACACACGCACATAGGCTGCTAACCCAGGCTGCTATCCGACTGGCCCTGGCATTGCTCCATGCTCATTATGTTATTGTTAGTTTATATGAACACGGTATGGAGTTACTGCGGCAGTTGCAAGCAAACTTTTCCCGCCCCAACCCTCCTGGTAGCTCATTTCTTTCTCTTGGTCTGGGACTTCACAGCATCGTGCCATGTCTCAGGCTAAGAGTAGGGCACATGTCCTTGTCGGCCGATCGATCATCGAGTGAGCAAAAAACAGATAGGCTGGAGTCAGAGTGTCTTGCTCCTCCCAGTGCTGCATGTATACGGGAGTGCAATTCATTATCATTGTCATTCTGTCTCTGTGCTTCTCGTCATTCTATGTGCGTTTAGGCCCATTACCCTGAAGACGCTCTGCTGCCGGAGTCCGTTTATTTTGTACTCTTCCATGCTATCCCATCCGTCTTCTTGAATGGGTGAGTCCCATCTCGTGCAACACCGTACTCGATACGGGCATGGCTCTGAATGGAACTGTTTGGAACTGAAGGCAAAAGAAAATTGTGTTCTTTCCATGAATAGTCGCTGCAGGATTGTAGCAAACTGACATTCTCTGAAGCTAATGTCCTAGCCAATCGTTTTGGTCATAGCTGATAAAGATCGGATAAATTTGGACTGAAATGTGCACATTTATAACTATGCATACTCAGGCCCGAATCTGTGAGTAGACTGCAAGCACTAACTAGTATAAAGTAGCACAGCGGCTAGTGCTGCAACTGGCGACCCGTAAATTTTCACGAGCATCATAATTGCTGAAGAGTTGACCGGACATGGTGCATCGGCATCATAGTACTTCGAAGTACATGTTTATCAGTTAGCATGGGCTATGTCCAGGGACACGGGCTGATTAGATAAAGGGAAGCACTTCGGTCTTAGCTGCTATGGTTGCTGCTGCTGCAGGCTATGCATGTACAGTAAAACCTGTCAAGGCGATCACTCGGATAAGGCGACCACCTGTCCTAGAAGACCACAGAAACCAGGGCCGAGGGATGCTATTTCCAGTCAAATGACCCTGGCTAAGGAGACCACCTTGTGAAGGTCCCTTGAGCGGTCGTCTTAGACAGGTTTCACTGTACATGATTGGATTCTGTAATGTTACACACAGGATACTGATCACATGCTCTTTCCTCCTGCGATATGTGCTTGTAGGAATATGCTGTTCCACTTTTACAAAATTGTGTCTGTGCCACCTGGCACCACGGTGGACAAGGGCCGATTTTCAGCGGAAGTAGTAGATGGTGGTGGAAGGGCTCCGTCTCACACTGAAGCATCGCAGGCTCTGGGGAGGTGAATGATATGTGTGTGTGTGTGTGTATATGTGTGCATGTGTGTATCAAGAAGTCGCCGTTTGTGCATGTCCATGTGTGTGGTCCATTTACTTTCTTAGCAAACCACACCAGTATTTTAAGTATTGCCTTCATTGGGGGCAGGGTAATTGCAGTTGGATCCCGGGGCAGATACATTGATGGCGTCAAACCTTTTCTGTACCTTGTCCTTGCCCACTTACTGAGGTACGGCGAGTCAATAAGTGGGAGTATTTCCGAGTCCACCTAGAGTCTGGGGTTGGGCGGCTCAATGGCCAATTGAGTCATCTTTCCAAGATTCCTATGAAACCTCTTTCCCCTCTCTAGAGGAGACCCAGGGACCAGTTTATGGCAATGAGCAAGTACAAGTGTGTGTGTGTCTGTGTCTGTGTCTGTCCCGTGTGTGGTTTCCTGCTGTCCATAATACAGTGCTGGGGGTAAAGTGTGTGACACGTGCAAGAGACCTAAGCCACCGCGTGCCAAACACTGCCACACATGCAACAAGTGTGTGCTGCGACATGACCACCATTGTGTATTTGCTGCCAACTGCATCGGCCTCAACAATGTCCACCACTTCTTCTTGTTCTCCTTCTTCTGTGCATCGAGGTAAGGCCAATGGTGTTACAGTACATACATGTGTGTTTCTGATGTGGCTCGTCCCAGTTGCTCATGATATCACAGGACACTGCTATGAGACAAATCTGTACTGGGGTAGTACGATCCATCAGTAATCGAATACCATGCTGCGCCATCTCATAATGACGGTGCAGCGTCGGCGTGTGGCAATCTAGTTCACAATTCTGCACGGATTGCACGTAACGGTTACTGTTGTAGCCATCTGCACCTACACTGACATAAATGGAGACGCGGTGATGGGTTAGGATTTAAACTACAGGTTGAAGGTGTTTCACTGCCAGGAAGGTGTTACTTGTATGTGGGTCATTAGCTGGCCACATCATGTCATTCATAGTGACAGCCCAGCCTGGTGTAACAGTGTACGTGTGTGTACTTGTAACAGTTAGTGTGGTCGTACAAGGTACATGGACTCATGATGTGTGTGTGTGTGTGTGTGTGTGTGTGTGTTTATGTCTTGTACACAGCGCCCTATATGCAGTTTACATCGCCATTCGTCCTTACATAGAATGTAGCCTGAAGAGAGATAACGAGGGACACTTGCCGTTAGCAGGTCAGTACATGTACTTTGTGACTTGCATAGGTCAAGATCAACCAGTTGTATGTTGAGATTATGTCTTGGGACTAATGTGCAATTCACATACTTGTATATAGAAGAGATTCCAGAGAAATTGTGGTTGAAGACACTCATGGCGAAACGGTGATAAATGCACGGCTGCCGGCACAATGCTCTCTCTAAGCTGCAAAGTTCAGGCAAAGAGCCATGCGCAAACTGATGATGGTGATGAGAGATGGAGGCCTCCTTGCCAGACCTTTTTTTGCAGCGTAGAGAGTGTTGTGTGGGCAGGCGTGTATTTACCACCAGTTTGTCGGGTGTGTTTTAAGTTTAACCACCATTTCTCTATTACCGTATGTCAGCGCCTTTAAAGCCATGGCCTTATATTCGAAACACCGCTGCTTTCCTAGCTATTTTAGATGCAAAATGACTCACCCACTACGCCATGCCGTAGAAGTCAAAGTCCACACAAAAATTTCAATCTTAATCGGTTGAAGTTAATCCACATGTTCACCCATCCTGCTGGGCTGTAAGTTTGTTAGCATAGTGTGACGGTTTGTTGACATCGGACGGATATGATACACCAGAGAGCCAAGAGACAATAGTTACTTCTATGTTGTGTTTTAGTTCCAAACCATAATCCAAGAGCGTCCTAAAAACAGTTACTGAATTCCCACTTCCAATGGTAAAGCCAGCCCTTTTCTCCAAAGGACAAATCAGCAAAAGGCACCAGCCAGCCAGAAAGGGATACGGGAAAAATGTGGAATACTACCGTACTGCGCAGTAGAGCGCAGAAGAACCGCGCGCGCGGGTATGTGACATAAAGGAAGTGTGAGCAGGACTAAAGTACGATTTATGCTACAGTTCAAGCTGACGGAGCACGTGCAGCGCTACACCGTAACCGGGTACCACGTGGAAGCAAACAGAAATAGAAGAGACACGGGATAGCAGACATGAACTCATGGTCAAACTGATAAGCGCGTAACATGAAGTATGCAGTACAGGGATGAATTTATCCTGTATTGCATCGCGATGCAACATCGATCTACTGCTACTGAAAAGTCATCGTGACTCGCAGAAAACTGCGATACATACGGACTATCCATGCCTAACCTGCGCTGTCAAGTAACATGCATACAGTGCAGTGTATGTGATGCGGGCACTCTCAATCTGCTTGCACATGTATGATTCAGTTGGGTTTTTTGTGATCGGCGTTCAGGCATCACTCTCAAGAAGGAAAATGCGTTAAACACCCAACCTTCAAAGAAAAACGCTAATCAAAACCAAAGACTGCTACACAATTGTGATTTTGTATAGCCGAAACTGCGAGGCAAAAACATGACGATAAATTCACCCCTGCAGTATATGAAGACAAGAGAAAGACACAGAGCTCAGTACGTACCGAGTATTACACACTAATAAACTCGTACATGTGAATGTCACGACACATAGTACTTATTCCTTCATTTTTACAAAACACACTTCAAATGTCATTTCATTTATGAAGCCCATGGCTTTATAACTGAGACTGGCTTTATAATCGAATATACCTTCATGGCTTAATTAAAAAAAGGTGCGGACATACGGTATAAATATCAAGATGCTGCATTGGAGTCTTCGCATCATTCTAACTTCACATGTTCTTCAGTAATTATGACTTGTGTGCCTTTGTCTATCTGTACAGATATGGAAGAACTGTGCGCGGAGCATGATCATCATAAAATTCTCTTAGCTCTTGCTCTGCTCTCATCACTGGTGCTCTGTAGCTTGTTCACGATTGTCCTCTACCTAGCTCTGACCGGAGAGACGATGCATGAATTTTTACGGCGCGTACGTGGCAGGAAGCGGAAAATTGCGGATGCTGGCGGCGCTGAAGGAAGTGTTCCTCTCCGCATGGTTGGCGATGGAGGTGGTGTTGATGCATTAGAGAGTGGAGAGCTTGATGCACAAGAACAACTCTATCGATCACAGACCAGGAGTAGGAGCTGGAAGACCAACATGGAGTTCCTCTTTGGTCCCATGGTCAACTGGTGGAGGTGGTTCATACCCATCACACCACTTCATCGCTCACCCAGGAAAGTTTCTTGAGCAGGGCACAACTGTCCACTATGATCCACGGGCTGGTAGAACTCTACCAATACAAACACCAGCATGTGTTCATCCAGTGCTGCTTCTGCTGCTACGACACTGCTCACATTACAGAGGAGGTTTGTATGATTTTCTGTTGACTTGCTACCTGGGCGTGTGACGAGATGGCATGCGTGGCTTTACTTTACTGATGCCATGGTGCTGTGCGCATTGGTGTGGCAGATGAGACTCGGATCAGTCTCTGCACACCCGGCAGCTGCAAGTAGCCTGGGAAGCAGCTGACCTGCAGTGCTCTTCTTGCATCTCAGTCTCTATAACCGCTACGGTGTGTTGTTGTGAATCCTGGATAGTCTTCTTTTCTAGATACCCTCTGAACACTGCTACAGTCGCTCACGACACTGTTACAGTGGCTGGTTACAATTTTATTAGGCATGGTCACGTGACTGGTATAGCTGAGGGCTGGCTCCCAATGCATACATGTACATTTATTTCTACAAGTTTCAATCAGATTATTAAAATACCATAATTATTGTACACATATTGCAGGACATTTCAATAGCTTGAAAACAGCTCTTGTTCTGTTGACATGCAAATCCGTGCTATTTCCCAATTCGTCCCGTTCAAGTCAAGACGCTGCTGGTGTGCTCGCGTGCCTGTGTGTATGTGTGGACTTTTGTGTTTGGGGGAGGGTCTAGCTTCAGTTTAGGGATGGGCCTAAACTGAGTTTCCTCGCCTTCTATACCTTCACTGGCTTCAGAGCTGCAGGTGCATCTCATGTATCGCATCAAACGTCTATGTATCACCAAGAGTTTGCAAGTGTGATTTTGGGTCGATCAGTATGCGCGTTGTGCTGCTTCCTATACCTAACTTGCCTGCACCACGCCGTGTATGTAGGCATTCAAGAACAACGATTTCCCATACCAGCAACATCATGGATGTTAATTTGTTGGATACGTTCAGGTCCAGGCACGACCCCTACACTGTAGGGCGCGTTTGGTTGGTACGAACTAGAACAGGATTCACCAGAACAGCGCGTTTGGTTGGGACTGCACCTGTTCTGGGTCGGCCAGAACATGTTCTGCTTGCTCCGGCCTTGAGGCCGGAGCAGACCGAGCAGTTTCACTTTTTCACAGTGAAACCTGGCGGGAACATCGATTTTGGTCCCAGATGATCACGTGCATACGCTTTTGGGTTGGATTCGTCGTACCGTACAAAGTGACCATGGTGACCCATACACATTTTGAAGAATGCACCAAGTTTGGCACATTTTCTCACAAAAATGTGCTCTGTTTCTGGAGTACCGTTTGGTTGGCATGAGGCTGCTCCATGTGCACCAGCTGTTCGATCCTGTTCTAGATCGTACCAACCAAACGCACCCCTAGTTAAATTTTCAGAGCACGGATTATTTCATGCAGTTCTGTCAGAAAGGTACTACAAAAAAGCAGGTAGTAGTTACAAACAGCGGGGAAAGTCTGTGTCCTAATTTCTGCAAATGCATGCATGATCATGTAGGCATGCAGCACATCACACAGCTGCCCCATATAATTATACTATCCCCCGTGAATTCCGCGGCAGAATTTCAGAATTTCAGAAATTCTGTGCAGAATTCTGCAGCTGAACCCAGTAAATTCTGCGCTAATTCTGCAAGTCCTTCTCTATTCTGCAAGGAAAATGAGCGTAAAAACAGATCGAATTTTCGCAAAGTTTGTTGTCTCTATTAAAATCTGAACCAAAATTATGCGAAATCCTGGTCGAAACAATTAAAAGCTCTAAAAATATACTGCAAATTGATTTTGAAAGTCACAAGCAGGTTGGTTTGGCTGTGTCAAAATACATTGAAAGTCTCCAGAAAAAGCAGTTTTTCTCTTTTCTGCAATATTCCGCGGGATTTTCTGAATTCTGCCGACAGTACTGGATTCTGCGGAATTCACGGGGAACCGATTATAGGAAGGAGTTGCATACTCTTCTGATTGGTTGTGGGCTGCGTCTTGAATCGGGCAGGGGCATGCAGCTAGCATCTGCACAAGTGTGCATGGAAACCTGGGTCGCAAACGCCATGTGTTACCTACTCTCCCAGCGTACATGGATGCCAGGTGCCTTCCAAAGGACCTGAGATCCAGAGCACTCTCACTGGCTGTGACACACATCCTTATCAGTTATAATTATTACATTATTTATGTTTGGTATGTCACGACTCACGACCATATGCTGCCTACATACACGGGCACAAACGTATAAAATACTGTACTGCACAGGTCTACCAGCTCCATCAGACGAGGGAACACCCTGGCCTGCGCAGAGCATCCATGGCCAGCATGCTACATAGTAGGTACAAGCTACACAGCATGCATGTGCTGGCTGACACAAGCACCAGCCGCCCACGCCACCACCAGCAACAACAGTCTGAATAGAAAATCTTGCCTTGAAAACAATAATAAAAAAACTTGGCACGTCCCTGTATAAAAAAGCAAGTGAAAACTATTGTACAGAAAGAAAAGGCAAGCATCATTGGTTACACCAGTAAAGGGTAGGGAGCAGGTGTAGATCTTTTTTTCCAGTACCTCCTAATCCTATGTGAGAACAAGAAAAGTAGCCGCCAGCGCAGCACCAGCAAAGGGAACACAAAGTCAGGAAGGACTCCGGGCCAAGTAAGAGTTCGACCAACACAAATCTCAATTTGAATTCAGTGCTAGATCCATGCCTTTGAGCAGGACAAGGAGGGATCCACACAGTACAAGTATGTACAGACTCAACTACTCCAGAGTCTAGAACAGAGCTTTTTGGTACACCGAAGAGAAGGAAACACGTGGACCACTGCATGCAGAGCTGGCAGAGAGCACCCAGTGACAGGCCGATCGATCCAGAGGAAGAGCAAAGAAGCAGAGTAGACATCAAGGAACATGCCATTACAAGCTCAACCGGCTGGCAGAAAACAATGGTGGACACGATCGATGGCGACGAAGTCAGTTATATCACAAGGATAGAAACGGTACGGTCTAAGGGCGAGGTGGTGCATTAGCCGGGTATAGTGCTAGACACGGCTCACTTACAGTCGGTGATCTGCGTGGCTATCATCCAGAGAAGAGCTTCACTGTTGCTTGCACTCCTGTGGCTGCTCACCCGCTGGTGGCTTGTAGTCAGGGTCTTCATCTTCATCATACTCTCCGTCATACTCTCCGTCATCCTCATCGTCTTCCTCCTCGTCGTTCTCCTCACCAGTGAAGTATAGCACTGCCTTGGGAACAAAGTTTTCCTTCAGGAACAGACCGAGCTCATAGTCCTGTGCGACTGCTGACGCTACTTCCTCGTCAACCTCTTCATCTTCGTTGTCTGGCAGCTGAACTGGGTTGAAGAAGTTGAAGAAGGAATCAGCCTTCACCTGCTTGGTGACGGTGCGCGTCTGTCCCTGCTTCTTGTTCTTCTGCTTCTTTTTAATAGTCTTCACGGTTACGTTCTTCCCAGCCTTCCACTCAATGTTGCAGCCTTCACACTTGTAGATCTCTCCGCCATCAAATGAGAAAGGATCTTCTGGGTCAACCTCAATTTTCATCAGGTATTTCTTGGTCAGAACACGATTGCTAAAGAACTCATTCTCGCCAAAGCAAAACTCTAGCAGGAAACCGACTGGCTCGGACAGCAGCGTGCACTTGACATCCTCGAGGTGCTTCAGGATGGCCACATCACTGTCCTGGATCAGCTCCTGTAACATGTTGACGTTCTGCAGGGCGGTCAGCCAGAAATGGGGAAGTCCCTTCGTGTTCTCATCATAATCTGACTCGTGGAGTGAAACCTTGTCCACATTCTTTGCCAGGGCATCAGCATCGCTTTCTTCTGCCTTCTCACCATTCTCTGCCTTCTCCTCATCGTCATCCTCATCTTCGTCTTCTTCATTATCCAGGGCAAAGGTACACTCTTCCTCCGTGGGCTCATACTCGCCTACGACAATTTTCTTTCTCCTGTCACACAGACTTTGGAATTCCTCTTCAAACTTGCATTCCAATTGGTGCAGCTCCTTATGAAACTGGCACTCCAATTCCTGGTTTTGAACTTGCAGGTTCTTCAGCGCACGAACTCGGGATTTGCATTGCTTTGGCAGGCTGCGATAGAAGACACCTTTGTCAGACAATACACTGCCAAGCCGGTCACCAAACTGGCTAGTCAGCGCCTCCATGAATGACGGATCTTCTACCAATTTCGAAGTAAGCTTTCCTATGGGTCCGTCACCAGCACCGTCATCAGTTGGACGCCCTCCCTTGCGCTTTCCCTTCCTTTGGGGGGCGTCGACACTAGTTCCCATCTCTCCGGCGTCAGCCATCACTGTGGTTCTGACTAGTCAGCACGTTCAAGAGCAGAGCAAGAGTTCTCGAGGACAAATATCCACCCGACCCAGTGCAACAAAGAAACACAAGAACAGCGCAAAAGCGTGTTACAGCTGCTGTATCAGGAAGTTTTGCGATCGAAGGCCTTAGCTTGGGTTATTCCCAAATCAAGTGATAAACGTGTCAACAATGGTCAACGCGCATCAACGTTCAACATGCCTTGATCTCGCGCCACTCTTACATGTTGATTCCGCCATAGACACGAGCAGAATGCATGCGCGGGACAAGGAGTTGCCATGCCACAGACAACAGAAAATGGCGTCAAAAGATTGCAACTTTTTACCAGGGAGTCGTAAAAGCCCGGGAGAGGACACGGGATGCGCGCACGCGGACGATGTTTGCCTCGGCCAGAAAGTGAAGCACGGTAGGCCGGCGCGGCCGGATCTGCACGATCCACGGCGCTGTGCTCGTCTTCGGGGCAGGGAGTCCTAAAATACCAATATTTTACAACTCGTTGTTGACACCATTATCCGAAACTGGTGGCGAAGGAAGCATAAACATGATTGTGTGTCTGTCTGTCAGACTCAGTACACATGGTACAGGGGGTGGGGAGTTGAGTGTGTGTGGGGGGGGGAGGCGTGTGTATGTGCACATGTGCTTGTACTTTTCTGTGTGTTTGTACAGTGTTTGTGTGTGTGTGTGTGCGCGCAGGCGTGCGTGTGCATTTTTGTGCACAATTCCGTTATGAAGTACAAATGATAGGTTTACCTTTTGTACACTCGCCAAGACTTCGGTTAGATTCACTGAGAACCTTTCTGGCCAACCTGGAGGCTGAGCCTTCCGTTTCCTAAACGGCTAAAGTCACCGCGTACTCAGTATACGAGTAGAAAAGTGTAGAAAATTTTAACAAGATCTACATAATAAATAACGACCTGCAACCATGTACAATGTAGATAGATAGGGAACACACATTGATTGTTTTTAAAAGAATCCAGGCAATATCATGAATCATGGAACGAGTGCGTAATAATGCTCTATGTTGCGTTTTGACGATGCTGAAGGAAGGGAGCCTTTGCGATTCACTCACAACACACGCACAGAAGTCCACTCGACTGCAATTTCAGTGCAATTTCTGCCACAAATTCATAAATCCACGAGTACGAGGAAGCTCAGCGGATCTCAACACGAACGTTCGCCCATCACCTGCAATGGAATATGGGCTGTATGATACGACCAGCGGCTAACACGGGAAGTGGCGTCATTTTCCACAAATCTCGTTTCATTCACAACCATTTGACTGCAATTCAGTGCAATTTCTGCCACAAATTCAACTCCACGAGTACGAGGAAACTCAGCGGATCTCAACACGAACGTTCGCCCATCACCTGCAATGGAATATGGGCTGTATGATACGACCAGCGGCTAACACGGGAAGTGGCGTCATTTTCCACAAATCTCATTTCGTTCACCCCAACTCAAATAAAATTGAAGTACAATTAGGGATTTATCTTGCATTTCCATCGCCTCAGAATAAATTAACTTCGATAAACTGAGAGAGAATGAGTGAGGCAGCTGGAAGAATTGAGGATGAAAATAGAGATCAGAAGACTCGACGGAGCAATCGTCTCCGTGCTCTAAGAGAAATCGGAGAATGTCCCAATTAGTATTTCAAGAAGACATCACAATTTTCGAAAATAATAATTTCCTTGCCTCGCAACACCGTTCCCTGGCAGCGTTCCCCGGCAGCGCGAGGCAAAGATGTTTTCTGGGAATGTGTGCCGTGTCCTCTCCCGGGCTTTTACGACTCCCTGCTTTTTACCCTGGAACTACTTTGATATCATGATGTAAATAAAAAATATTACATCATGCAAGATCGCGATTCGAATATCGATTATTTATAATCTACACAAAATAATTCAAACTCAATACTACAATATTAATAGTCAAAGTGAGTTGTAGTATGATTTTGTATTTTACTCTTGGTGCCTAGCGCCTGCACCTGGTACAGGTGTTTTCGTTTTCATGATGAGCTTGTAGACTGAGCTTGAATCTTCCACGATACAGTGTTCTTTGTGGACATGGCTGAGTGTGCAGACGCCTTATGTGAGTCACAGGTCGCACGTTGCGATGAGGATGATGAAGTAACATACCCTCGACAATTGACTGAGGAAGAACAAGTTGCCTTGGCAAAGGACACCCGTGTGGTATCTGATTTTCGGCGACAGAAGTTTGAACTGGAAGCCAAAAAGCACTGGGATTTGTTTTACAAGAGAAATCAGACGAAGTTCTTCAAGGACCGCCACTGGACGTCGCGTGAATTCAACGAGCTTGCGAAAGAGGTACTAGTAGTAGGTGAACATGACTTAGTTGTGATACAGCATTTTAATCAGCTTTGAGTGCGCCTCATTATGATTGATAGGACTATTATTGACTACTACTGTTCAATCACGTTTCACGCATGTAGCTTCAGCATAAGGCCTACGGCTACTAGTACAGTCAACTTCGCTTATAACGACACTCGGCGGGGCATCAAAAAAGTGTCCTTATTCGCGAAGTGTCGTTATACCCGAAGTCTCATTATATGTATTACAGTTAGATGGGACTTTGCTCTGGGCATGGAAATTCTGTCGTTATTCGCGAATTGTCGTTATATCCGCAGTCGTTATTAGCGAAGTTGACTGTAAATGTATTGGGTTAAATGCACCACCAACAGGTGGTCCGGTCAAATGAGATATTTGACCGGAAACGAACATCACTGTAAACGCCATTATTCTAATGAGCCGCAAATGTGACGATTTTCTAAAATTGACTCGTTTATGTGTAAAGATAACGATTCTCACTCATTCCCAACGCGTAGGAACAGGTCCGGCGGTTGCCGGACCAATGTTTCGCCAAAAAAAGAAAAAAAAGCAGCAAGCTCGTTTCAACCGTGCGGAGGGTCAAGTCCTACTTACGCAGTACACAGGTAGACTCTACAATCCGCCAGGAAGTACAGGACAATCACGTGACATGCGGGAAAGGCTCAATCACCTGATCTGATGCTCCTGAATGTCCACAAGAAACTGCTGGACGGCTAGTGCCTGAAGAGTACGGCACGGGAATTTGCGCGTGGAAGTGAGCATCTGCTCTCCCAATTCGGACAGTTTTAGGTGGAAATTTGTCAATTCAAATACATCTACTTGCTTCTGCATGCGCTTCAGGAGTATACTACTGTAGTATAACCTCAAGTCTTCCATGATACCACAGTATTTGTTCATATCAATCCTTTTACAAGTAAAATCGCCCCCTTCACTCAGTACAGTAAGATCGGGCGCCGAAGAACGCAGGGGCTCGAGCGCAGCCTAGGAAAGTTCTTAAATTTTTGATTCTAGCCAGACCGTTCTTATTCACACGCGCGCGGCGAGTCGAGTGACGTCATGACGTTTGTCATGTACATGTACATGTACATGTAGTGCAATGTAGTACAGGTGGACTCCCTCTAATTCGTTCATTGTACTTCTAAACTAGTGGGTGTCGTAAATGGTAATGAATGTACATGTAGCAGTTACTGTTTACACGTGTACATGACATGTACTCACCTCCCATACATGTACAATGTTCCAAATTTTAAAAGTGTTCTTAAATCTGATAATTCTAGCCTGGACTGTTCTTAAATTTTGCCGGTTTTCCAGCCTGGGTGTTCTTCGGCGAGGTGTTCTTCGGCGCCCGATCTTACTGTAGAGACAGAGTTGAGCGAGCTGTATTCCCGGTGCCGAAAGGCGGGCTCACAACCCCTGTATGGCAACTTCCCCATGCTAACCCTCAAGACGAAGTGAATACTGTAGTAGTCATACTGGGCGGAGTTAAAAATTCAAAAACCGCGACCTGCACGAGCTAAAAATCCGCCGGACCATTGGAAATCTGCTTCCTACGCCCCTGTCACTGGCAACAGTATAAGGGCCGGGTTCCACTGCGGCTCCGCTGCTCCGCGGCACTTGGCTGCATGCAGCGGAGCAGCGCGGTTCCACTGACACTCGCCATTCGCGATACCGCGGTCGTGCTTCACGCTTTTTGATGACGTTCTGCGCGCGAAATAATAAAAATCCTCGTCTTCTGGCCTACACAACAAAATAAAATTTGAACTTTAAAATTCTCGCGTACAAAACAATGAAAAGTACGGGAAACAGGTCGAGCCGCAGTCACTATGGTAATGACGTTTCAAGCCACGGATGACGAGCAGCGGAGCAGCAGAGCCGCAGTGGAACCCGGCCCTAAGTATCGATTTCTGTATAACGTTTTCTGTTTTAGCGGCAGATTTCTCCTCGTTAACTCGTTAGATTTAGCACTTCGTTATATATAAGGCTTTTGCAGTATTGTGAAGAAGAGGTTGGTGCAACTTCGGCGATAGTAGGCAGTATTGAAAAAAACCCCGCTTTGCACGAATTGGGTGGGTCAACTTTTTCCACACCGGAGCGGATGCTATGACCCTGACCATACATCATATCAGTTTTTGTTTGATGAAGTTTATTTGGCACGTGTGCACATGTACGGGAAAAGAGAGTCCATTGTTGAAAATGTGTCCACCACACAGATTGGTAGTGGCAAGAGTTTTAAAAATGAGCACGTGTGACATGTGGTTGAAGAAAAAAAACTCAAAATGGAAGCACTTTGCCCGACTCAAACTGAAGGTAACCTGTAGAGAGACTTGCCCATATCTGAGGCGTCCAGATAAAAGACGTTCGAGTATGGCATTGTGTTGGGCGTGTGCAGCAAAGGTTTCACCCTTTGAAAGGAAGCTCCTGAATGTTCAAGACTGTTGTTTCCGATTGTGTTCAATTTTTTGATTTGTCACTGGTTGAAATAGGCTGAAATACCCCTAGTTGGTGTTGCCTGGATTTTGCAGATTTCCGCAAGGCAGTTCAGGACTCCTCTATACTGTATAGATCCCCGTCTCAGCCTTGGTGTATGCCCGTGTACATGTATTGCTGAGCATTCTGCACAGGGCATCAGCACAGCATGATCATGAACGCGTGTAGCCAGCAACACACACAATGCTGCTGAGAAGTGGGAATTCTCCACCCGAACTATACAGTGCCTGGACCCGCTGGCAAGAATCCTGATGTCACTATCTGTTGGCTGTGCTTCTTGGCTGTCTATTGTTCTCAATGTTTCTGTTGCAGAACGATGGTGGCACAGGTAGAAGAGTTATCTTGGAAGTTGGCTGTGGTGTTGGAAATTTCTTCTACCCGCTTTTAGAGGACGGTCTAAACTTCTTTGTTCACGCGTGTGACTTATCGCCACGAGCCATCGAGTTTGTGAAGGTATGCTGTGAGTTGTCAGTTAGCGACTACCTTGTGCTGTTGTTGTTCTGGTCCTGTCTGTGCTGTTGTTGCTGATGGGTGATAGTGACATGTTTAGTGAGGAGAAGTATGACCGTGCTTACTGTCGCATTGCTGCTGGCGGCAGGTTTTCTTATCTCTTAATTTGCTGGCCAAAAATCCTATATACAGGATTTGAAAATGTGTGCCTTTTATGCCTTTGTTATTGGTCATCACGACCAATAATAACTGCATAATGGTTTTCATGGAAGTTGTAAATATGATTGAGGCATGAATGTTTACATTTTAGATTCATATGGCGATAATATTTCTGATGAATACCCATTTTCAGCAATAATTGGAAATTTGAGCATAATTGTTCAGCTGCTGTCATGAAAAGGACTGAAGCAGTGAATGTGCATAAGAACATTGCAGGTGTGGCACGGGGTGGTTTCATGACGACATATCGCACATGCCGTCATGAAACTACCAGTTTTAAGGATAAAACAAGGTCCAATAAAATCTCAAATCCTATATATAGGATTCGAAAAATAGGGCACAGGCCTTAGTAATATTGGGCAAGGACATGAGCCTGAGATGTTAGTGTTTGAAAAAATTATCTTATTCAACTGTCGATATCTACTAAGACCTAACAAGGAAAAATTGGTCACATACTTTTTGCTATTCTCATGCCACACCCATTTTGGGTTGAAAAATATGACCAAAATCCTATAATTAGGATTAAGCAAATTAAGAGATACCTTGTCGGGAATGTGCTTTCGTGCCTGCTGTTTGTAGCGCGAATGTTGACTGACACCTTGGGTCACACCAATGAGGTCTAATAGCCTGCGCCTTGTCTGCTGAGGCTGTGTTTTGTATACATGTGCTGGTATTGTTATGACTTGCAGCCTAGTGTTGCTTCGTGTCTAGTCCTGTGAAGTAACTTAGTTTAAGTGCTGTGAGTTCTCACAAAGAAAACCACCTGTTAGGGGAATTGAGTTTTGGTGAGGTCTTGCTGGTTGTCGGCAGGTTGCTAAAATGTCGGGAATGTGAGAAACTTATCGAACTCGCCGAGGAGAATTTCACCCTACAAAACTCAGAGGAGTGTCAGCTTGTTATTCACTTCTGTTGCAGCAGGGTTTCTATGAGTTTGTTCCATTGCTCTTGTTTCGGAGTGTTGCGGTTTTTTTAGGGTATGAGTCGGAATCTTTTCTGTGACAAACTTTCTTGTTGCAGGAGCATTCCCTGTATTCACCGGAGAACATCAATGCGTTTCCATGTGATGTCACTAAGGAAGAGCTATCAGCGCATGTGGCGGAGAACAGTGTCGATATCGCAACCTTGATCTTCGTCTTGTCGGCCATGGAGCTCGATAGCATGGTCATTGCTTTGAAGAAGATCCTGCAGGTTAGCCTTAACTCGTGTTTGTTTGTATGCATGTCTGTGATGCTTCTATTGTACGGTTTTCTCGTGCTGTAATGAATCAATGAATTTGTTCCACCGCCACCACATGTGCTCTCTGGTCGACTTCATGGTGGTGGAGGTAGAACATATTCATTGATGAACAGGCCGCAAGATGCTGCTTACCCTAGTGTTAACAAGAGTACATTATAATGAATCATTGGTCTTGTCTTTGGGTTGTGTTGAGGAGCTGTCGTGTGACTTGCATGGGGACGACACTAGCAATTGATGTGTTCAGTGTTCGTGGCTGCTGCAAGCCTTTTGTGTAGCAAGTTGATGGCTGTGCACTGACCTCGTGTGCTGTTCTCACCTCCAGTGTACTGGAATTATGGAGAGTGTTATAGATTAGTAGCAGTGGGTGGATTTCTGATTCACGTCCCGATGAAAAGGGTGCAAGTAATGATTGTAGTCTACTTGTACGTAGACTGCTATTGACACGTACAGAGAAGGGGAACTATTGAGCGCTCTGCAGTCTCAACACACTGGGTGCATCCTCTGGAGAAGGGAAACAAAAACTGTATTGCTGTGACTCAAGAGATTCTGCACCATCTCGAGCTGCCGCAACTCGCTCTAAGTGTAGACTGCAATTGGTGTTGTGATGTGTTGTGCTGTGTTGTGCTGTGTTAGGTGCTAAAGCCTGGTGGTCTGTGTCTTCTGCGTGACTACGGTCTGTATGACCATGCCATGTTGCGCTTTGCCCCTGGTCACAAGCTGGAAGAGAACTTTTACGTTCGCCAGGACGGCACACGGGCATACTATTTCTCTTTAGGTAAGAGTCGTGCTGTGTTGGCTATTATACTTTTGGTGGTACTTTGCTGTGGGAGTAGATTTAAGTTCGTTTAGGGTTTGAGTTATCTTTGTCCTTTTGTTGGATACGGTATACAACAGAATAGTGCAGTCCACTAGCCTTACAGTGGGTGTGATGTACATGTATCACAATCCACATCTCTCTGTTATAAACACACCAGTGCATGCCTGCTACTACCCAGGCTTCTCTTAGCATAGGCAAAGTGCTTGTCTGATGCTCATCCTATCATGAAACTCAAGAGTTGCAAATAGAGCTACCCTTCTTTTACCATGTGATACAGTACGTAGTTTACTGTTGCTAGCTTGATGTGCTCATGGTTGTACGAGTGCCCATGCCCAGTCTCTCTCTCTCTCTCTCTCTCTCTCTCTCTCTCTCTCTCTCTCTCTCTCTCTCTCTCTCTCTCTCTTCTCTTGCCTCCATTTTGCTGCTTGGTTTCCGAGCATCAATTTCTTTGTGAACGGTGTGTGTGTGTGTGTGATGTTCCTCTCCATGATTTTGATGTGTCCACCTGTACATTGCACATGTACTACAAGTAGTACTGTACTGCGCATATTTCCGTATTCTGCCATGCGTTGGGTATTTGGATTGATCTTGATGATGATGCTTGTTGGCTATCTGTGCTGGGCTACTATTCTCTACTACAGAAAAACTGGCGTCGCTGTTCATCTGTGCTGGCTTCGAAGTCGTCAGCAATGAATATGTCTATCGGGAAACAGTAAACCGTAAGGAAGGACTCTGTGTACCTCGGATCTTTGTTCAGGCAAAGTTCATGCGACCGTTGGCGGTGGCCGAGTGAGAAGAAAAAGCAACTGGCTAGCGAGAATGAATGATCAAGTAACGTTCCAACGCATAAGCCGGCATAGCAGCAGCAGCAGCAGAAGCAACGAGTGCAGTATCGAGTCCGTGGTATCACTATGTGGCTGTAGAGTGCCACCAGCACCGTGACTACTATACAGTACAAAGCGTGTGCAGTGAGAAGGCAAGGGAATCTGTGTCCCGTTGTACATTCAGTCCATGCTGGGAGTAAGTGGTGGTGGCCGCCTGCAGATGAGCTACGCCTGCAAGGTCCTCACCTAACTGCAGATCAGTGCTCTGTTTACATGGATACCTGGGCATGTTCTCAGGTACATGCCAAGTACAACGCAGCAAGTGCATTGCTGTGCGCGGAAGGGACATGCTGCAGGCATCACCGCTTTCCACGGCCCGACAACTTTTAAATTGTGGCTATGGCATAATCAAATTCAAAGTCACAAGGCAGTCCTGTTCCTTGCCTAGTTGCTCGGCGCTGTGTTCCGTTATACACCATCGGTGTTCCATCCGGGCCTTTCTATCAACTGAATTGAACCCATGCCTGCTGGTATGGCAACAGGGTTATGATTAAAGTAATATGTAGGTTCTTGATGTGTGTTTGCTATAGCATCTTTGTGTGCGTACCAAGGATTCGTAAAATTTTATGACTCCCTAGTATGTACATACCGGTATAATTATGTGACATGTTCACTATCCTACTTCAAAGTACTTCAAACTGCATCGCAAACCCATGTTTCTGAGATACGAGATTAGCTTTTTTAGGATTTTTGCCATACATCTTTGTTGGTAGTGGTACTGTGGGAAGCTGGGAGAATGTATTTTACTACTCTTGCTACTACGGAAAGCTTCCGAATGTAAGCATTCATTTTATTTTATTTTACATGCAGATATACCAACTGTACATGTTCTACTTCGTAACATGTGCCCTTTCTCATACCGTAAAAGCCCGTGTATAGGCCCTGGGTGTATAGAATAGCAGTCTCGATTTCCTGGGCGTATACTTGGAATAGGGTATCACATGTACTGGTGTTTCCGGCATACATGGGCATATGCGTATTTTGAAACAAAAGTAATTTTGAGTGGGCGTATTACTTTTAGATTTAGCTTTTTCAAGAATCATGATGGATGATGAACGTATCATCTGCTCTACCCATCATATAACACACATCTTACATCACTTTTATTTTTGCCTGCGTTTGCAAAACCACAAGGCAAATTCAATGGTGTGATGTCCTAAGGTGCTTATTGAGCTTCTTATAGTGAAAAAATATTTTCTTACGGCAAAAACAGATGGCTACTTGCCCAACCGAGGACTAAATGAGTCAGAATCGGTTCTACCTAGATAATGGAAAAGCTAACGGACCATATCAGGTGAGAACAAAAGAATGACCTACATGACAGTGTACAACTAAACACACAGATGGCACAGCATTCGTAAACAGTAAAAAAATAGCAGTACAGATGAGGGATAAGGATACAAATATTGGTCAAAAATGATTGGATTAGTGGAGTTTCCATGGAACAGTAAAGTTTTCAGTTCCAGGCTCTTGCAGAAGTCCCCCTGTAGCACGTAAATTTGAATGAGCAAAATTAATAGTTTTTAGCTGTCATAGATATCCGCCAATACATCTGTACCTCCGTCGATCTCAGCATTGATGCAAGGAGCAAAGTCTGCCATTGGAAGTAGCCTGCGGATGAACACAAGTGAGGATGAGAAAAATTAGCGCCAGTACCTGCTGGATTACCAAATACTAGTAGCGTGCTGACTGACCAATGAAATACAGAATCAACAACCTTGGGTGCAGGGTCGCGATGTTTGCTGCAACCATTGTAGCAATTGTTTCTTTCAGGATTAATAATTCTACTGGCCAGAACTGCAGTAACTTGAGCACTGCATTACCCTGTATGTAACTGAAGATGCAGCCCTCATTCTGAGAACATGGGCAGTATAGCAAGGAGTAACAATCGATTTCTACACCAGGGCTGTACAACACCATGCTGTTGGTTTATTGTGATACAGTCAAACCTCAGTACAGCATACCCTGGATATAACTTGCTGTAATATAGCAGTGGCTGGTATAGTATAATTCAGGGTCGTCAGAGCTAGTACTTTATATCATAATTATAATAATTATAAAGTACTAGCTCTGACGACCATGAATTTTACTATACCGGCCATTTATTTGACTTCGGGATACGCAGTACCTCGGCTACAAAGTACAAATTGTCCGACCCTTATACTGAAGCTTCCCTTTGAGAAACTTGCTTTTTCTCCCGATTGAACCCAAACCAGAGTCGCAGCACCTCCTTGGATAGCAGGAACCTCATCACGTGTTGGTCTCGCTCCTAGTCAGCTTGTTCCAGTTACCCCAATGCTGTCTCTATGGATTGCAGATTTTCCACAGGATCTACTAGTAACACAATCTAGCAATGCCTGCAGAGCTCAGGAAGTCCAGCAGGAGGTTGCAGAAAAACTAGGGAGAGGTCTTTGGTGTGGGATTGCGGAGATTCCAATCGTTTGCATATCGAGGCAATGCTAGATCATAACCAGGAGTAGTAAAACATGTTACTACTCCCTAGATATTACCATTGCACACATACATCATTGACCCTGGTTGGGAATGGCGTGAGCACACTCATGGCCACAGGCAAACTGTAAGTTTCCATCCCACAAATGAGACACACTTGATTTCAGGTATTAGGGAGGTTCCGGAGTACGACTTTTCGTGCCAAAATCCGTAGAGGCGCTACGGATTTTTATACGTCGTTTTCGAGCAGTGAAATGTTCCGGAGTACGGAACTTATGTGTTTGCCGTCATTGCCTAGGTTACGATCGCAAACACGTCACCTTCCCGCGCTATGCCTTTTTATTTTGAAAATTTGTACTGAAATCAAAACTTCCCGCGGAAAATCGATGTTTCTCGTACCAAATTTGTACGCGAAAAATCTTTCTGCACCCGATGACGCGAAATCTCCATACGAAACATGGTTCGTGTGAAAGCCAGTCCACACGGATTCTCCGTGCTGAAAAATCGTATGGAGCATGCCTGGAAAAAATCCGTAGTACCCATACGGATTTTGGCACGGAAAATCGTACCTCGGAACCTCTCTATTGTGTCGCTTGCTACCTGCTACCTGTAAATCTACAAATTTTCGCCGGTCTCCAAAAAACACTTTTCGCCGCCACTAAACTTTCGCCGTGGGCGTGAAAGAGTCCGAAAAAGTGATCGATGTTTCGTGTGCACATGTACTAGAGGTACATGTATAGTAGTACAAAGGTCTGCATAGTTTGTACACCACTGTCTTCTGTACGAAGTGTTTTACAGAGAGTCCGGCGGCATATGATTTGGTTCTGGTGACAAATTTTGGCCGGCGATTAATTTTGGCCGATTGACATCGACCGGCGAAATCAGCAAAATTAAATCGCCAGCGAAAATTAGTTGATTTACAGTAGCCCACACAACCTTTCCTCCAAAAGCACGGGTGAGTGGGTAAAAAAAATGTTTCTGCTCGGGTTCGAACCGAGGACCTTGTGCGTGTGAAGCACACGTGATAACCACTACACTACAGAAACGGTCATGCTTGGCGTTCCTCACAGAGGGCATGTGAGAAATAGGGCAGGGTCAGCTGTGCACTACACAATGCAAGGTAGGCAAAGCCCGATTTTGCAGCAAAATTTTGCTGGGTCATAGTCGATATTTTGCTTTCATTTTGCCAGGCCACATTTTGCTCCCTTATTGCTCCAATGCGAGGCCAAATTTGTGTCATGGACAAGGCGGAGAGCCCGAACGTGCGCATTTGAAAAAACCACAAAACAATATTGTTGAAAGACCAGCAGCTGGCTCACCAAATTCAGCAGACAGTCGTTCAGCAAAGAAGCACTTCCCCAGGACAGTCGCAGTGCAATCCACATGGCTACGCTTGCAGCAGGACTGAGTCAGTGTCTGACTCATCGTGTAAATATGTGCTGCTGCATTGTCATCGTGTTTGTACAGACGGCTGCTCGAAACGAACAGAATGTGTGTGGCGGGAGAGGAGACAGCAACAGCACCAGCAACAGCGTGTCTCTTGGTGTCTTTCGGTGTTGAAGTGAGTGATGTGCATCGTGTTCTCTCATTCCGACAAGAAGCGTAGATGCGTTCGTACATTGAGAAGAACACTGATCTCAGAAGGATGGCTACATTTGGAGATTTATCTGAATCCGACGATTCAGTTCTTCTACACCTCATGTTTGAAGGAGATAAGTCCTTCTTTAGAATGACACATTATGTCAGCGAGGAGACGGCCGAGTGTATCCAACAGTGTTTCGAGAACAGTGGAGCAGAGAGTGTACATGTGACCGAGTTCATCAAGACCGCTGCCCTGATGAATGTTATTTACAGGTGGTCTCTTTGGACAAAGAGACCACCTGTACACAGGGATCACATTTGTAAGGTCCCTTGAGTGGACACCCTACAGTCCATTCATCGGAAACTGGCCCGCTGGCTTTTGAAAGTCGGATTTGGGCCGAATTGAGGATCAAAAACCCACTTTAAATCTCAAAAATCTGGGTTTTGGATCTGCTTCTCCATACATTTTGCCATGGCATTAGTCATAGCCCAAATTTGCTAGCAATTCTTTGAGCAAAATATCGGATGCGCAAGTTTCCGGCAAGTTTTGAGCAAAATATCGAGTTTTGGTGGGCTTTTCGAAAAATCCAAGGCTTCTTAGGGACTTCCTCAACACAATCAGTCACCAAGGTTGAAAATAAGCACAAAAGTTGTAGAAAACAGACTCGTGGCTACATTTCAGTGGAAAGTTGAGCAGCAGCAGGAGCTCAATCAAACATATCGTCGTCATCAGCGACAATTATCGTTGAGTTTTCCCTAAAACTCATTTCATCTCGAGCAAAACCAAAGCAAAATATCGACGGAGAAAGGAAATGCCAAGCAGAATATCGAAACATTTGTGGCAAAATTGTGCGGCAAAATATCGATGTAGGCCGAGCAAATTTGGGCCATGACTACATGGCATACCTGTCCTAATTTTTTAAAACCTGGCTGAATTTCTATTTCCCTGTTCTTGGACTTTTCTGGCCTCAAATGTGGCAAGAAGTAATTGCATGGGTCACACAATGCAGGAGGTACTGTTGTTTTCACGTTATCTACAACTATGTGAGAGAGACACCAAAAAGTTAGGGTGCCAGTTTCCAATGAATGGACTGTAGACAGGTTTCACCATACTGCACTATCCCGATTATAAGCCACACTCTATTTTCAGGTCTCTGCCAAATTTCTTTTAAAAGAACTCTCCAACTCCAATGCAGCATTTTGCTTGCATTTGTAAACACTTCCATTCCACGTCCCACGAACAGGCTCTCAGCTGCACCATCTCTGCCACCCTGTTCTTAAAAGTATATTCTCTTGAGTAGTAAAATCATAACTCCTAGAATCATGCGTCCTTACCGATAAGAAGCTAGGCTGTCTAAAACCCACTGAGCAGACAGGATAGTGGTGTAACCAAAGTCACTGGGAACTGCAGAGAACACCAACGAGAGCACATAAGATCAGGATGAGAATAGAGGAGGCTAACACGCATGTGTACACATCAGTGTTGAACAGGGTTGAAAATTCTTTACATTGGTATAAAACACGAGAAGACAATGTTGATAGTGTCTGCAGAGTATGGATACTAGTATGTGCCAATGCACATCCACAGACCATCGTGAGAATAAAGATCGGAAACAACAAAAACAAGTATAAGAACAAGACTCACCATCCGGGTCACCAGCATCGGGATCAAAGAGAACAAGGAGTGTCTTTTCCTACGAAAGCGGACACAGTGAAACGGAAATAGAGGTTAGCAAAATGTGGGCACTGAAATTAGCGTGGACAAACGCACTGGAATAGTTCAATCAGTTATCACGTGTCCTGGTGTACACTAGTAGCTATAGCCATTTTCCTTCACATACACATACACGTACACGTGGACAGTGCATCAAATAGAATTCAACGCCACTACTAACCAGGTTGAACACCCGAGGGATGCTGTATGGAGAAATGCAAACAACCATGCCTGCCTATACTGTGTTGAAGTATATTCTAACATACTGTATGACCTGTAATTTTCGGTGGAGTGAAATTTCGGTATCAGGGCCCTGCCAGGTTTCAGGTGTTATGTAGAATTAGGTGACCGGCATTCCCTTCACGTACAGTGCATACTCTGGTGCCTTTTAGATTAAATCTAAATTTAGGTGCCTGGTTTCTTTTCTAATTGTCCGCAAACTCCAACGCAGCCACGTACACATTTAAAATTCACTTCTCAACTCCAGAAACGGTCTCTTCACTGCGATTCAAACCAAAATTAAAATTAACCCTTTCAGTGCCAAGGACGAGATAACTCGTCCTACAGACCCCCACGCGATTGGCCAAGGACGAGATATCTCGTCCTCGTAGTGCGCACGTTATATTCCAGTGCATAGACCAGTGTACAAACTATCGTAACTCTGTGAAACATAAACGCATCGCGACAATCAATACACCGTTAGAAAGGTCTTGAGCTCATCTTTCTGCGAATATAACGTTCGTCGCGATGGGATAAAGAATCACTGAGCGGCGACAGGATGAACACCAAAATCACGGGCCGGAGCGAACACAAATTTTTTTGTTCATGACTTCGCAGTTTTTTGGAGCGTGCTAGGGGATTTCCCTTTGCCACGACGCATGCGTGATGGACATCAAATGAAGCGCTTGGATCTCAGCTTTGCAGCGCAGTTCGAATCGTGAAAATCGGTTGAATTATTTGGGCAAGATGCCGAGCAAGAACGTGAGATTGAGTTGTTGTGCCGTTCCGAGGCACGGTGGAGTAGTTCGGAGAGGAGGTGGAAGTGGCCCTGGTGTGTCTGTGGTGCTGAGATTTACCATGATGGATTCGCTTGGTCCTGATCTTTCCAACGAGCCCAGGATGATGAAAATCCATCATGGTGGAGTGAAATGAGAATAAATTCCATTCAGAGCTGTGCGCGCAAACTACACCAAGAGAGTCAGTGCACTGGACAGCCGGCCGATTGGAGAAAAGGGGCCCGGCATGGAAAGGGTTAAAATTAACATTTAATACAACGCATGTAATAATTTAGACCCTATCTAGCGCGAACTTGTTGAAATTGTTTGTGAATTTAGATCAGTAGTTCTCGTTTGTGGTTGCATGGTTACTTTCTAGTGGTGAATTTATCTCATCTGTTGTCACCTGATATCGTTGATTGATGTAATGTTTCTTTCAGCTCTCATTTAATGCATTAATTTTAATTTTTTAAGTTCGGTTTGAATCGCAGTGGAGAGACCGTTTTCTGGAGTTGAGAAGTGAAGTTTAAATGTGCCTGGTTTCTCTACCGAAATTACCAAAAGTAAAGTTACACCGAAAAATAATGTGTTATACAGTCCAATACAGTACGGATCGGCTATTGCGCTGGTGTTTGATTTTCGTGAAGACATCACTATAGGCGATATCAAGAGTACATAACCCCCCAGAGTGTGCAACGCCTGATCCAGCTCTGCATAAGGTCTTGGTCGAGCAAAATCGGATCTTCTGATGCCATGCGTACACTCCACACCAGCGCAAGGCCGGTCTCGAGGCAGGGCACCATTGTTTTTGATCTGAGAGTACCCGCGACTCCCCGGGGTTTCCCTCAGATGTGTACGGTATTATGACGTAAAGCTCCGATTACGCTCGACCAAGACCCTATACAGAGCTGGATCAGGCGTTGCACACTCTGGGGGGTTATGTACTCTTGGCGATACGAGAGAGCTTGGAAGCTCAGGGCCCTACGCTATGCTTTGTTACTTAGCTCATCGTGCATGTTGTGGGAACTGATGGAAATGTTTCCTGGGAAGGCGCTGACTCTGCCGAGCACGCGCGTTCTGGAGTCGACGGGATCACTCTGCCGACGTTTCCTGTGACCGGCGCTGACTCGCCCGTTCACGCCTATTTTGGAGACAACGGGATCTCTCTTCCAAAGTATGTTTTTGCTGACGCATCCTATCACCTATTCGGCAACTAACATCCATTCTAATTTCATTTCCTCCTCGTCTCCCTATTTCTTTCCAGAAAGTCTCTCTATACATCAGGGAGTCATACTGTATTGGCAGCTACCCTAACGGGTCACGCCGCCCACCACCCAAGCATGTGTATGATGAGGGACAGTGGCAACAGAAACAAAAAAACAGCAAGCAGGGAGAGAAAGCAAGAGAAAGACGGCGATAGTAGTACATCTGGTGTGCGACGTATAGAAAAGAGAGATGACAAGAGATGCGCACAAAATAGGAAACAATAATTATTTTTGCAGTTCCGAAACAATCAACCAGGTGATGGAGTGTGGGCACCCGAAGTCGCACCTGGACTCCACTGGAAGAACATCCCACGCAGGGATATCAGCGATAGGCCAAGCGTTGAAAAACAGCCATGAGGACACATCGTCTAGAAGTCCACCGCGCTCGAACTGAAATTGCAGGTTCAAACAATTTCCCACGCGGCGTCAGGCAGCGTAACTCTTCTCCCTGCATCACCATCCATCTCCAGCAACCGTCTCCACTCACAGCTCATGCCTCTGCCACCACTATACTCCTCCGAGCTTCGCAGTTTGAAACCATTCGGGGGTCAGCTACACCACCGCGAATGGAGAGACGAGGACGTCAACGGTCGTGACTGAAAAGACACTGCCTTGGCGACCGCGTCGCGGAACCCTCGCCCCAGCAAATTCAGAAATACGCCAGGGGCAACTCTGGTGGGCCCAGAGCCACCCCCTTGGCAAGACTAGTAAGAGGAACGACTGAAAACTCAGATAAAACGGAGCTACAAAAAGTGCAACCGTCCCCTTCAAGCACAGTTGCAACACACAGGGAGTCGTATACATGTACATTGTACATAATATTGTGGCCAGCTGTTTGTAGCCAGCTGTGTTTGATGGTACGGTACGGTACGGGACAGATACGGGAGCCAGCAAATGGCCAGCTATGCGATACGGTACGGGACAGATACGGGATAGCGCCAGGCGTGACACAAACAAACAAACAAACAAACAAACAAACACCAAATTAAAGCTGTGTGGACCCTGGCTAGCGCCAGACGTTACTGAAGTAACGTCTTCTGCATAGCTACGGGAATAATTATTATTACTACAGGCGATATGCATACTTAGGTATGCCTGACACATGCGTGTATGGTGTCATTCGAATCAGTGCAGCGTACTGCCTAGCGGCATTCATTCATAATTCCTTCATATTCATTTTATCCAACGGATTTTCTAAAAGTAAAGAGATAATTACCAGGGGAGTTTCCGGGAATGGTGGATACGAGAAAAGAAAGTGAAAAGGGACGTATTAAAGTCGGTCAAATAACATGAACAAAGCGAAGGGTATGATGATATTGTCACCATACCTTTGGACAAGCTGTACGAGCTGACTCAAGGATAAGTGCGCCTCCAATCTGAAGAATCTGAGCGAGGATGTCTATGGCAAATACAAGCACAACACACACCCACACACACACCCACACCCACACCCACACACAAATGTACTCACTGCTGGGAACTGGTCACATGGTCTCCCCATGAGAGGAGAGATAATGAGATGTAGCTAGATGGAGTCTTTGGAAGATGGCTCAGTTGGTAATTGAACCACCCAATCCACATTCCCATAACCCTATTGGATGTCAGGGAAGTAGACAGCATTGCAACTTTCAAATGAGCGGGATATTGTGTTTGATAAAGTCGCCTACCTTTGCCGATGACGTAGAACTGTCCGGAAAGGAAGATGGCAAACTCATGGAAGAGAGGTGGCTCCTGCAAACAATCAGGAACAAGAAGCAAACAAAAGGGAGATCAGGGTTGAGGCAATGACAGTTGTCAAGTGAAACAACAGCGAATGCTGTCGAAACCAGTAACTTTACCACTCCACAGTGAGCTCTCGGCCGACACACTCCACTTGCACATCACCACCATAGCGAGGACAATCCCATCAAGATATTGATATCAAAGACCCTCCAGACAGCTGGCCTGCTCCAACAGACCTCATCAGTGGCGGCAGAAGATAATGAATGACAGTTTGAGTTGAATGATGTTATAGGAAAAAAACTGGCGTTATTGCTCACTTCTGACGTAGAAATGTGGCATGATGCCCTAAGAAATTGAGGTGCTTTTAGGTGAAAACGCAAGAGTGGTTTGGTGGGATAAGGCATGCAGTGCTAGAAATGATGCGGAAAAAACACTCAATAGACAGTAACTGTAAGAGGTACTTTCTAGCTATTAATTTACGCCATGTCCCAGCAAACCGCTATTGCGTTCTTAGTAACGTCTCACTTCTGTTAGAACTGTTATCACCTTTAGCACCTCAGTTTCTTAGGGCATCCCACACTTCTACTTAGAAAGTGTGCATCTGCAGTTGTTTTGCCCCATATTCATTAAAAAGGAGTGTCGAGAGATTGATGCTTTTTTAAAGTGTACTGATGCCAGTGATGTGACAAAGTCAGGCAAACGGAAACTGGGCAATGCAGCAATCCCAGAGGTCCATGAGGCATTCGCTGCACTGCCCCCTTTCGCCTAGACGTATATCTATAGAGTGACAATGTCACGCACAGACACTTACGTCAAAGCGCCGAGAGAAGCGAGCCTTACGTGGCGCCCCCATGAACCCCTGACGATCACCAATCACTTCATGGAGCTCCTAGGCGAGAAAACAACAGCAGCAGCAATGTACATGTATTATTTATGTGATGTGTACTGGACAGATACTAGGAGCCATACCAATCTAATCTAGTGCGAACCATCGATCCCACTTGTCAATGAATCAAGATATAGTTCCAGTTGACTTCAGAGCTACAACAAAACAATTCTTGTCACTCTGACAGGAAGCTCAAATATAACAGCAAACAGTTGTTCTGTTATGCGAAAGGCCACACAGCACGGACACACGCGTGAGCATGCACACATACGCACTGTACAAACCTCATTGACAAGCTTTCCAGCATTGTAGCATTCTTCCAACCCTGGTATGGAAATCAGCAGCAGAGAAAGAGATATGCAGATGATGGTTACAACTTACAATTATCCCAACGAACAAACTGAGAAACCAGTCCTGATCATAGGCAAACCCAGGAACAGTAAGGGGGTCTTTGCATAAGGAAGCATTGTGATGAAGCTATGCAAAAGACGTGTGACGTCACAAAGTGACGTGGGGCGCCTGGCATAGCCAGGGTCCACAAGCCTTCAAGTACTCTGTGTGTCCGTGTGTGCGTGCCCGTGTGTGTGTGTGTGTGTGTGTGTCCTGTAGGGCCGGTGTACACTGCCACGTGACCAAGGCAAGTGCTCACATGGAGTGTACAGACAACAGAGCTGCCAGCTCAGGGCCCTCGTGTGCTTATTCTTTAGAATCTTTACCTTGGTCATCTTACCCTATGTCCGCATATTTAAAGCCATGGCTTCAAACTTCCAGCCCAGCAGAAAGGGTGAACAAGTGGATTAAGATTGAAATCATTGTGGACTTTGATGGCATAGCGTAGTGCAGGGCTGCCACACTTGGAGGGAGAATTTTTTTAGGAAAATGGCTTGCTGTTGGGGCCCCAGAACACATTTTTAACTGTCCACACACATGCAAGCACGCGTGCATTTTACAGCTACATATACATGTACAATAGGGAGGTTTAGTCCCACGTAATCCGTGGGTACTTTACGTGTGTGTACCACGTGATACTCAGTGACCCACGTACAGACGTTTTCTGATTCACGACATACCGTGTATGGAGGCTCACCCACGTTCCGCCAGAACGTGGGTGAAAATCAGAATGGAGCGCATTGTGCGAGCTGTGAGGGTGCTCAGCTGAAGAAGTTTCCGAAGCACGAAATCAAAATATTGGATGAGCTTCTTAGGCCCGGGTAGCTTTGTCTTCAACCAGGTTTGGGCCTTTCGCTTCATGCTTCATGTTTGTTCCGTGTGACTAAACACAACATTGCAACGTGGGTTCCCTTCATCCACTTTACGTGGATCACCCACGTACGCGCTTCCGTTTCGTGGGAACTAAACCTCCCTAGTGACTGGCCAAACGCGACCTGGAAGCGCCGAATGGCCAACTGGACTAAAAAGCGCTCAAAATAAAATAATCGGTTGTCCCTCTTTGGGAAAAAAACCGGTCGGTTTGTCCGACAGGCGATCAAAAATCGGACGATTTCCGAAAAATCGGAACAAGTGGCAGCCCTGGTAGTGGGCGAGTCATTTTGAATCTAAAATAGCTAGGAAAGCAGCGGTGTTTCGAATATAAGACCATGGCTTTAAAGGCGCAGACATGCAGTATGAGTTACTCAACCTGATAGAAACGTCGTGGCAATACAATATCCTGACAGATAGCGGGTACTTATCAGGAAGCCAGGAGCTGGTAGCTCTCTGGTACACTGGGCACAATAAGTACAGCAGCCTCATGAGCAGCAAGTCTGTCAGCAGCAACACACTTACAACTGACAGTGACCATCCAAGTACGTGCTGCCAATGCTTGGAAATACTTGACACTTTGCTGCACCACACGGGTGTGATCTGCACACACACACACACACACACACACACACACACACACACACACACACACACACACACACACACACACACACACACACACACACACACACACACACACACACACATGTAACTACATATACGTCACCGAATAACACTTACTGGCTGCACAGCTACAGCTATAAACTTAGCATCTGCATCCACTAGGAAACAGCGCATAGTAGTACTGCCAGTGTCAACACTGACAACATACATGCCATTCTCATTGCATACACACACACACACACACACACACACACACACACACACACACACACACACACACACACACACACACACACACACGTGTCACCTAGTATTGGGCAAGCGGTGTCACCTGTAATAGAAAATAGATATAGATAATAGATATGTGATTAATCTAACCAAGTTACCAGAGTTAAAGACAACATGTGTGCTGGAACGACTCAGCGTGTGCGCCAGGCGTAGACCATGCCGCCGCTTGAGCATATGAATACGTGACTGAAACACACACAAAACACAAACCACATCAAAAACACGTTGGCACACACTTATCTAGCAGTTAGTGATTAAGGCAGGCAGCCTGACACTGAATGCAGGCACAGTCGCTGCTGCAGATGCTGCTCGGAGTCGGCACAACACTAGATACCGTAAAGTCTTGTATAAAAGCCGCGGCTTCTATGACTTTCTTGGTGAAATTTTGCAGGCTTCAATATGAGACAGGCTTTTATACAAGACAGGTATTTCTATGTATGTCAACACTAAAACCAGGCTTATGTGTGATTTGATGGGCCCAAAATTGCGGCTTCTATTCAAGTGCGGCTTTTATACAAGACTTTACGGTACATACAGCACACCAAGCACTTGAGAGCACACTGTCGATGGAACATACTCATTCAGAGCACACTGTAAACAGTCTACATGCTCATCGTGCAGTATTCCAATGTCTATCACCTCCTCCCCCCCCCCCCTCTCTCCCTCTCTCTCTCTCTCTCTCTCTCTCTCTCTCTCTCTCTCTCTCTCTCTCTCTCTCTCTCTCTCTCTCTCTCTCTCTCTCTCTCTCTCTCTCTCTCTCTCTCTCTCTCTCTCTCTCTGCACTTCAGGGTTACGACACCGAGGTGCTTCGGTTCATTACGTGAAGCCCTGGACGTCAAGGACAGTGCTTACAGATTTCAATGCTTGCCAATTTTGATCTGTTGGAGTTTCATTGGCAGAGACCTAAAACGTATGCACACCAAACTCAGGATCTGCCCGCATAATTTGCTTACCACAAGAGTTGTAGGTGGTGTACTAAGGACAAGGGATACGTCCTTGCCAGCGTATGAAGATTCTGCTACACGCCCCGATGCAGTAAATCCGAGATCGTAGTCACCAGTTCGCTCAGCAGTGGTCGACGATGACGATGTAGGCACTGCGCTGGTACTGATGGCAGGTGGCGAAATCAGCGGTCTGGCTACTGATCCACACGGTACCGGTGGAGACGTAACAGACTTTGTTGCTGAGCTGGATTTGCTAGTCGGTCGCGCTGCACTACTGGCAAGCGTGACAGCACATGGAGGGGTGGCCGCAATTCGCAACTTAGAAGCTGCAGTCGGGTGACGGCTGGTGTCCTGAGTCTCGGAGCAACCGTCACCTTGTGTAGTCTCTGAATCACGACTTGTGGCCAGGGACGATGAAGTGTGGCCCCTCGTAGAGGTTGCCGGGTATGGCAAGTGCCGGTTAGCCAAAGCAACGCTGGAAGTACTGCTAGTAGTACGGCGGTGATCGGCGTCAGGGCTGCTACCGACGAGCGATCGTTTGCGTTTGACATTGAGCATCTGGTAGACAGACTGTGGCGATGATTCCTGGCCCGATGGACTGTTGGTGGGACTGCTCGACGGGCTGGGTACACGCGAGGTTGACCTGGGCGCTGTGATCTTTCTGCTCGTTTCCCGCTGTCTAGTGACTTCAGCGCCGGTAGATCTCGAGGCAACAGTCGGCGTCTGCCGAGATCTAGGTTTGGGCAAGACGGAGGGCAAGCTACCTTCAATACTGTCCAGGCTTGATGAGTCTGCTTTACTACTGATGGATGCCATTGCAGTTAGTCCTCTACCTTCACCACTAACACGAGGCAGTGGTGTCTTTTTATTTGACGTGGGAGGCACGGACTGGAGAAGATGAGTTGGAAACTCACCCAGTTCAGCCGGGGGTGGAGTGGGTTCAAAGGATGAGAGGCGACCAACGGACGGTGGAGTCGAATGCTTACTGGTCGGTGCGGATAGTGTGAGATCAACAGAGGCGGGGAGAGGCGAGTCCTGGCTTGCAAGAGGTCCGTCAAGATCAACAAAAGCAACATTGGCTGGCGGAGTAGTGCACCGGCGCTTGCCAACGCCAGTACTATCGTTCTCCATGTCCACATCCACATCCACTGCCATTGCGGAGTGTGAACGGGACACGGACGGTGTTTGTGAAGAGCGGCCATTGTTACCCTTGGGTTTGCTGGTTACTGGCGGTAATACGCACACTAAATCATCATCGCTGTCATCCGATAGTGCATGACTTAGATCTACTGAGGCTGGGAAATCAACATCAGCTTCATCCTCCTCCTCCTCATCATCATCATCGATCACTGCAGCACGAGTGCTGGACCGGCGCTTCTTCCTAACTCCAATTTCTTCATCATCGGAGTCATCAGAGTCCGGGGGTGACTTTCTCTTACCGGCGGCTGTAGACAGTATCTGTGCAGGCTGACTATCAGCTGCAAGTATATCATCACCAGGCATCAGTTCATTCACCCCTGCATCACCAGGCATCAGTTCATTCACCCCTGCTCCAGAAAGATGTGCACCATAGCCAGACGTAAGTCGACCACTGGATGTTTGACTGCCCGGTGACCTGGAGCGTAAACGACGCTGCTGCAGCGAAGAAGAGGGATTGCTAGCCTCGACACACTCAGCCAGGCAAGATGCAGTAAACTGGTCAGTGTCCAGGTCCACGGGCCCTGTGTCTGCATCAGCATGTGCCTGACTGGACGGAATGGAGCGAACACCTTCTGCTGTGACTGAATGTGATTGTGTTGCACCATCCAGGGAGAGACAAGTGGCTTGCTCCAGACATGATGCGGAGAGATCATGTGCAAGGTTGTCAGGTACTGGTGATGCTACTCTCACCACACTGTGGCCACTGGCAGCAGCCAGTTCAAGGCAGGAGGCTGACAAGTCATGCTGCGGCTCCTCACCATTCACACAGACAACGTCATCTTGTTTTTGGCACGTTGTTACTGAGACCTGGCGGGATCTGGCTATCGGCTTCCGTGCAGTTGAAGAATTAGGCTTGCAAGATCTAGCGGGTGGCGGGGTTGGCTCCACAGCTTGCTGGAGACACGAGGCGGAGAGATCAGCTATCTGATTGTCCTCTGGCGCTTCCGTCGTGTTGGCAACAGGTGGGTGTGGGTCGGCCATAAGTGCCTTCTGCTGGGCGAGGGTGCACGACAGAAGCGTTGCCTTTCGCCGGCCAGCTGTGCGACGCACTGCTTGTAATGCTGGACAGGACAGATGCAAGGAACAATGCAGGAACAGTGAAGCAACATTCTTTCATTCTTACACCCCTCACCACCAGCCATACTACATGTATGCTAGGTTGCATTAGGAACAGTAAAAGTACTACACATTGGTACGTATATATGCGTACGAATGACCTGAAGGGGTTAATGACCGGTAATGTCCCATGCCGGGCCTTTCAAACGCCATTGACCTGCCGGAGAGATTCATGTAACACTGTCGCAGTGGGAAGACACCTCTAGTGATACACACACAAAGGCTTATAGAGCTCAGTGACAAAGATAACGGCTGGAAACCCCAAGCACCTGGAGAAGCACAGCCCGCCATGACTTACGAGATCCTGCTGTAAGAGATGACGAGTTGTCAGACTTTTGAATAGTCTAATACATAAAGAAGAAGAGAAGACCGAGATCAAGAATAGGAGCAAGCACCATACAACAATGTAGTATTACGTAGATAATTACACAAATACACATTGGGAGTAATCTCTGTGAATGCTACAAAGCCCCAAAGCAGTGACAGGCAGGTAAACAGTAAGATGAGTTCATTATTTGACCAACATACACAACCTTCCACTACTACACAGTAACACAGACAGGTATGCAGTGCTATGCACGCATTTGGCTAGCACGGGCTGTTCGGTAGTGCACCTGACGGCGACTGACATTTAACCGATTGCCTCCGACCAGTAGAACAAGACTGTACCGACTGCAGGTCAGATTCACCCGGGGAGCCTCTGCAGCCTACTTGCATGCTATGGGTTCACACTGATCAGAGTATGGCAGGGTAACAGGTAACTAAAATGCAGGTCAGCAAAGTCTAGGCTCACAAAACAGCCGAGTAGCTGTCAAGAGTAGTCCAGGAGATACGCTGCTGCTGCTACTGCTGCTGGGTCTGTTAAATAATCAAAGTCACGAGTGCGAATTCCACTGCACAACCCTGTGATAATAGAGATTCCAAAGTAAAAGTGTACGACTCGTAAGAGTTGTTTGTGCCTGGAAGGTCTCTACTCACGTTATCAGTGCTGGTTTCCGAGCCTGTGGGAAAGGAGACAGGAACAGAAGAACAGCATGTATTTATCTACAACTAACCATGCCGTGTCTAATGTTAGCGTAGGATCACCAAAACAAAAACACCTGCAAACAATATCTAGTTCACTTTATGTACCCACGGATGAAGACCCAAACAACAAAGCATGAGAGGTGTGCAGGCTTACTACTCACCCAAGACAGCATTGAGGAAGTCCAATTCGCCCTTCATGTCGTCAAGTTCATTTTGCATGCGAGACACATCCTGCAAAGTACAGTTCACCACATAAAATGTGCATCCTCAGTTAGCTGACTAACTATACCAACAGTCTTTCATGTAAACAACCTGATCACATGCATTGTGCATACTGGTACAGTCCAATAACTGTTACATGCGTCCAAAGCTGGTGCTGTATATCCTTGGAATCCAATAAACACGAACTCTTGAGAGGATTGCACTTGACTGCATGCCTGCATGCCCGCGAGCACACACACACACACACACACACACACACACACACACACACACACTTGCTCACTGCCATCAACTGGTCACGAGGGTCTCCCCGAGACAGGGGAGAGAGATTCAGAAGGAATCTCGGAAAGATGACTCAATTGGTTATTGAGCCACCCAGCAGCTGACACCCTCTGAAAGTAGTTCAAAGTACTAAGAAAAAAGTCATGGGCAGCTGACCCCCAGATGATTTTCTTGTGGTCTATCAAATCGTGAATTCGTATGCCTTGAAAAGTACTCAGCGGAAAATAGTAGTGTACAGTCAGACCTCGTTTATCCGGTCCTCTTTTATCCGGATCCCTCGCCATCCGGAAGAAAATCGCTGGTTACCGATTTACAGCATATGCTATGCATACATACAGTATGTGTGTTCGATTATCCGGTTCCCTCGCCTATCCGGATATTTTTGTCGAAAACGGATGTGTGCGGTTATGCGAGGTCTGACTGCATAATGCATATCGAGCTGTGTCAAACAGGACCCCCGGAAATCAGCGGTGTGTCCTTTCCCAGGTTTATACAACTCCTTGATGCACACATAAAGAGAGAAAGGTTTTCAGTCGGGGATCAAAAGACTCAAAACACAGTCACTCGGGCTATCAGAAACAAAAGAATTTTCGGCTCGGCTTTATGACGTAAAACTAGGCAAACACAGACACAACACAACCAACTTACCTGTGTAGAATAACTCTCCGAGGATGGCAATGTTTTCAATGATGCTGGAAGTGATTGCTTTCCTTTGCCGGTAGCGACAGCAGACTTTGGCTTAGCCGAGGTCGCATTACCACCAGTCATCTCATCTGTTGGTGTAACGCGAGAAGACACAGCGTCCGCAGTATCTCCGTTGCCATATCCATCTTCCACGGCAGTGGGCGGTGTTGGCGGGATCATGTCATCCTCGGTGGAGCTTTCGACTCCATCAGTATCGGTGTCGGTGGTGACATCATCTTCACAGGCTAGACCAACCACCTCTTCGTGCTGGACATCGGCATCGTCCACCGTGACATGTGCATGATCATTACAGTCACCCTGGAGCATATTATTGTGATTGTCTTGCTCCGGGGGTGGCAATGTGGAAGCCTCGGCCATCATAGCCATGGCGACCAGATCAGTATCCAACGGCTCAGTGTTTGTCAGACCGCCCACAGCATGGTCGTCCAGTTCAGTACACTCAACAATGCAGTCATCACATGTCCCTATTCCGGCAGCCGCACCACCATCACCACCATCAACACCATCAACGTCATCAGCGCAATCAACAGACGCTGAGACATCTGCGATGGGACTGGCAGCTGGCTGAGATGCAGGCCTTTCCGTGTGCAACATACTGGAACCATCATCAGCTGACGTGAGCATCACAGCAGAGATCGATGTTTGTTCTGACTGGGCATCCTCATGAATAAGGGTGTCGTTGCAAGAGAGAAGTTTGGTGCTCATCGTTTCATCCAAATCTGTCACCGATTTCTCAGGTTCGCTTACTGGCATTGTCTGTTTGAAGGATGGGCACTGTTCGGTAGTTATCGCCTTCAGTGAGTCCAGACCTGATCTCACGTCGGTTTCTTCCTGCCGTGAACTGGCTAACATAAAGATCTCGGAGAGCTCTTGGACTTCGTCAGCCAAACGAGACACACTGGCAGGCAGCGATGTCATAGATGACGGTAGCTCATGTGTGATCAATGTGGTTGTTGTGGGATGGGGCTTACCAGCCGAAAGCGATTGCTGTGATGTCTCTGCCGCTACAGCATCATTTTGCTCTGCTGCTTTGCCATCACCTGCCTTTTCGACACAGGAAGCTGTCTGCGAGTCACGGGGCGTGATTTTCTGTGAAGGATGCTGTGAATTCTCGGCATTGGTCGATGCAGGGGGACTGCTCTCTACTTGCAGTCCACCATCGCCACTCATATTCGTACAGGCATACTCCAATAGAGATGATGACAGGTTGTGCTCTTCCTCTGTGTTACTGCCCTCATCATCTACAGGCACACGGCTAGGAGAAGCGTGGTTGCCACGGGAGGACTCGGTCACTGTGTCATTGCTAGCTGTAGCAGGACTAACACTGGGCTGTAACTGCACAGAGTCTTCAATAGATTGATGATTGACAGTGTCGGCAGTTTCAGCCGTGCTGCTTCTATTCTCCTGTGGTGTGGTTTCACACACAATCTGCCCAGCAGCACTGGCCGGAACAACACTGTCCTGAACAACAGTGGCCTGGACAGTACTGTCCTGAACAGCAGTGGCCTGAGCAGCACTCGTCTGGATAGCATTGTCCTGAACAGCACTGTCTTGAAGAGCACTGATCTGTACAGCACTGGCCTGAACAGCACTAGCCTGGACAGTATTGGTCTCAACAGCATTGGTCTGGACAGCACTGGCCTGAGCAGCACTGGTCTGAGCAGCACTCGTCTGGACAGTACTGGTCTCAACAGCACTGGCCGGACCAGCACTCGTCGGGAAGGCACTAGCCTGACCGTCAATTGCCTGAAGAGCAGCCGGCTCACTGACCGCCTGCGTCTCATTTGTATCGCCGGTGCTACTGCGAGTTCTTGGTCGCCGTGGAATTGGACGACAGGACTGGGGTGAGTCGTCTGGGTCCTCAAAGATGCCCTTGGACACGGTCACAATGTTCATGCTCTGTGTGCACTGGTAACAATCACCGCACTCAGCTGGTGATAATCCACACAAACTGCAAATGTCAAACGGAGAAACGCTGCGAGATGACGGATTGCGGCTGGCATTCGATGCCGCGCCTTGACTCGTGCGCTGAGAGTTGCGTTGTGACGGTTCAGGTTGGCGAGATTGCGACGATGGGCGTGATGTTGCCTTCTTCTGGGGTGTGTCTTGATGTACCAGTGGTTCAGCAATGGCTGCTTCACACACCGGTGCTTCAGGCAGAGATGGCAACGTAGGTAAACGGGATGGTGGACTGCGAGAAGACTCCCCAGGGCTGGCTGTAACTGATCGCTCACTGTCGCTGGATACAAGAGCACGGCGCAGCGCACGCTGCACACCAGATGCGTTCAGTGACGGAGTTGATGGTGCCACGCCGGACATGACAAATCCAGGCGGTGAGAATTCGTACGTTTGCGGCTCGTCACCTCGGCTATCGCTCGCATCAGCAGCAGCAGAATGAGTCGCACTATGGCCATCGGTGGGCAACCCAGCTTGTTTCTCAGAGGTCTGTTCTTGGCTAACGCCGTGACATGAGCTGTGCTGTTCTTGGCTGATTGGTGACATAGTTGAACCAGGTGGGTTCTCCGACGCTGGAGCTACATCTGCAGTATGAGGCACAGATGCATGGAATGGACTCGTTGCCTCCAGTGAAGAAAGCTCTGGGTTCAGATTGCTTGTCTTTTGTAGCTCTGCTTCAGGTGTGACAGGGTCCGCTTCAACCTGCTCAGCGTCCGCTACTTCCGCACTGACATCAACAGGTGGCTCTTTCACAGCTGATCTTGGTTCACTTCTCTCCAGTGCTGGACTTGTGGTCGCGGACACGGCGGTGGACGATGGGCGGTTAATTCGTCGGCGACTCGCTCTGCTGCTAGTCGATGCTGACGAGGCACTGCCTTCTTGACTGTCAGGTTTGTTTCGACTAGAGCGACGCGTGTTAGAGCTCGGCATGTCATCTGCAACACGCAACAAGATCAGAACAGTGCAAGTGCACAGCTAACATCGAAACATCTTTCCTTGGATACTCCCCCCCCCCAACACACATACATACATCGAAGACCACAAGCCTATGAACAAAGCTGAGGTATAAGAAATGTGCTTGTCGTGCCGAGGGGTTGTTACTACAAAGATCTGCAAGAGGAGCGTCGATGAGAATCCACTGTGCAACACACAGAGTACTATGACATAACATACTGGCTGCACTTCTCATCAGAGTGCCATACCCGCACACCACAACTATGGCAAGGCAACAACAGCCAACCGATCACATTCTCCCATCACTACGCAGAATATACAACACCCAGGGGCTGAGGGCCCAGCCTGAACAGAACTTACCATCATCCATTGCAGATGCCTGCATGGCAAGCAACACTGGGCAGGCGGTCAAGTGACGCATCCAACTCCGAACTCCCACTGCTTTGCCGCAGTACTCACACGTCGACGGAACTTGACCTGAAGGAAAACAACACGAAGCAAAGTTAGCGATTGTGCTGGATGACTGTCAAATTTACACAGACCAGAGAACGCACTCATAAAAGAAAGGAGAGCAGAGTGCAAACAGTGTGGTGGAGAGTTCAAAGTCGGAGAACACAAACTCTAGACACTCGATGCGAAAGTTGTGTCTCGCTAATGATACCTAGCATGAATCCTTGATCACAAGAAAATATCTAAATCGACAATGCAACCAGTGAGTGGAAACTGACCTCGCTTCGCTTTCCCAGCGGATTGTGTCAGCCTGTTGTCGAGTGGTGTGTTCACGGAGATGGGTTGAAGAGCTGACAGTGTGTTCGATGTGGACACTGCAGCGCTTGATGTGACGTCACCAGAACTAGGCACATTTGATGTACTAGCTTGGGTAGAGAGCGAACGGGCACGTCGAGACTCCCTAAGACAGAGATGAAACCATGAATACAGAGACATGTTATGAACTGCTATGTTAGGTGCCTTATGACTCTTGTTTCACAATGTATGTTGCTATGCATGCTGTATACACGCTCACCCATGCGCGCGCCTCCGGTTTATGTGTACACCTCTCATGTCGTGCATGTGTCTAGCCGCGTACAGTTCACTTCTTCCTTTAGGCCCGATTAGGGCTAGCTGCTGTCTGGTCGCAGTGACCTTGCTTAGCTGCGCTGCATATGTTATGTCGCCGGAAGGGCGCGACTGGACCACGGTCCGATTGACCAACCGTGCTGCACGAATGGTTTGGTTCGGTTTAGCTTTACTGCTACATGATAGATAGGATCTGCATTCATGTTGCAACAACCATGGGACTAGTGATGCGTACCTTCCATTGTTTTTGCCGCCTTTCAGTTTGCTTAGTTTGTCAGCTAACGCAGTAGCTGGACTTCTTTCTAATATTGCACGCCCGTCTTTCTGTAGTTCAGTCGATCTTTAGTGCAGTGTGCTTCAGTCTGGTTCTATGTCTTTCCCAACTCTCTTGTAAATATAACTCATTAAAGATAACGACTCGAGTCTCCGGATTTCTGTGGGTTAGCGAAGTGAAATTCTAACGAATTCTGTGTCAAAACCGGCAAATGACTGCACATGTACATGTACATATCGTTTTGCACATAACGACTTCAAATGTTAACGATTCTTTCAAATTCGTTAACTCCTTAACCCTTTGAGAGCCGCCCCATACTTGAATGCGTCGTAAACGACGCATTCAAATGCAAAACTTCAAAAGATCGTAACTCAGTCCAATCTCGCTCAAATCCAGTGATTGAAATATCCAGGGCGAAGAGAAAACTCTCACCTGTCGGGAGAAACAATCCGTGAAGCGCTGCGAGAAACGGTTCCTGAGATAAATCACTCGTAAGTTGAGCCGCGATCGCGGCAATTTCAAAAGCGCGCAGTACGACATTAGTATTGAGAATATTGAGACTTTTCGTCACGCTGGTTTACTCGAATTTGCACAGGTTTCACTGTTGATATTGTCAAGAGTACACAGCGAAAAATTTGGAACTCCATGATCGAGTAAAATGAAATATCTGGAGCGGGACGCAATTGGACGCATTTTGGGGCATTTTTCGTACTGTCGCTGCGATCTAGCGCTGGATAGACGGTGTGCTGGCTATCATGATCGACCTCATTCTCTTCCTCTCGCGGAGACCTTTCCAGGAAGCCCTAGATTGTGAGGATTGAGTGAGTAGAACTGAAGCTATGATCCAAGGAACACGAAAAAATGCAGAATTTTGAAATTTTCCTGTGGCTCTTAAAGGGTTAAAATTTAATGTTCGTTTTAATAATAGATTACCAATAATATTTTCAAAACAAAAAGTTTTCGTTTGTGGGTGGGTGGGTTTGATGGAGTTTCGTTTTGAAAATAATTATTGAACGCAGATGGAGAATGCCTAGTTATCTCTGGGTGTCGAAAATTGACATCAATATTTTATTGGAATTCGTTTTACCTGCAGAAAAGGTGGGTGGTGTTGCGTTACTGCAACAGCACTAAGGGTAAATGCCCATGCACACTCTCTCAGTCCAACACAACCATCACACTCCGGTAGGAATTACAAACTATACTTGATGAAGACAGAAGGAGAAGTGGAGAACACAGGGAACAGAGTAGGCATGTAAACAGCACAGGCACGCAACAGTTACCGCTGGTGCATGTGCGTACGCAAAGGTGTGAAATAGGAAGCGGGGTCAAATTACATATGGATGCACCATGCCAAATATATAGGCACAGGTAGGTGACTGTACATCTCCCCCGAAAAAAAATGCGAACGGAGGGACACGAGAAAGTGTGGAGCAAAGGAGAGAGGGAAAGGAACGAGAGCAGGTCTGGAGCGGGTACCAGAGTGAGCATTACTCAGAATGATAGAGAGAAAAAAAAATGAAAAGAACACAGTCATAGTTCAACTGGAACACACGGAGTAAACAGTGTTACTGTGTTCAGGTATTGGCAGCATAGCGTTGCGGCGCATGGCGAACACGGCTGGATGGTGGTCTGCGACCGGGTGGCAGAGGCTTAGCAACTCTAGGAGACTGCGGCACAGGCAGAAGAGGTGGCAGAGTAGAGTTAGCTGGTGGTTGCAGGGCAACATGCACAGGAGCAGGAACACCATACTCAACCTCATACATGGGCTCAATGGAGGAGGGTGAGCGGGAGGGATCAGGGCGTTTGGCTGACGCGGATGGCGTGGATGGCAACGCACGCACGTGGCGACGATTTCGGCGGACAGATGACCCAGGAGTGAGGTCGATCGTGTAAGAGCGTTCGGACAGGCGGTTCTGGACGTGTCCAGTTTTGTCCATATCGGGGACATACACAGGAGCACCAGGGGCGAGAACAGGCAGCAGTCGAGCACGGTGGCGTTCATTGTAGCGATCAGCCTGCCGAGACCTGGAAGATACTTCCTTGTCGGCAAGGGCGGTCAAATCGGGCCAGGCTGGAGCAGGGAGGGGTCCTGGTAGCCGGGAGCGGATTTGGCGGCCAAACAACAGCTGTGACGGTGAATAACCGTTGGCCAATGGCGTAGACCGGTACGCCAAGAGAGCGGAAGGCAAGTCGTCGTTCTTCAGAAGGAGCTGCTTGGCTGTCTGAACGGCACGTTCTGCAGCGCCGTTGCTTTGGGCGAAGCGAGGACTTGACGTGCGATGGGCAAACCCAAGCTCGGCAGCAAATGCACGGAAGCTGGCACTAGCAAATTGTGGACCGTTGTCAGACACTAGCGTGTGTGGAATACCATGGGTAGAAAACACGGCATGGAGAGAGGCAATCACAGCGGCAGACGTAGTAGTGGTAAGTTGTTTGACTTCGATGTAGCGCGAGAAATAGTCGACAACAACTAGGTAAGTGGATCCTTTGGCTGCACACAGATCACACGCGATCTTTGACCATGGAAGAGATGGGAACTCGGACGAGATGAGCGGCTCGGCTGGGTTAGGACGGGCCTTGGCACAGGTGGCACAAGACATCACATACGACTCAATGTCCGTAGACATACCAGGCCACCACATCACAGCACGCGCACGAGCACGACACTTACCAACGCCTTGGTGACCCTCGTGAGCACTGGCAAGGGCGGCGTTGCGCTGGGATGCAGGGATGATGACACGTTGGCCACGGAATACGAGACCATCAGCAGTTGAGAGCTCATCGCGAACAGCGAAGTACGGGCGGAGGCTAGCGGGGACCGAGGTGGGCTTGGCTGGCCACCCGTTGAGGATGAGGGCACGGAGGCGACACATGTCGGCATCAGCGTTGGTCGCGTTCCGAACGTCGACCAAGAGCGGGTCGGTGGAGCAATGCGATGTGACGGCAGACACATGCAGCTGTACTTCATCAGCAAGATCACTAGTAGGCGAGGACTCTTGCGGAGCACGGGATAGGGTGTCGGCAATGACGAGTGACTTGCCGGGCACGTGGATAGCGGTTGGGTTGTACCTCATCAGTCGCATCAGGAGTCTCTGGCATCGCAGAGGAGAGCGGGCGAGATCAGCGGAGTTGATGAGAGGCACGAGAGGCTTGTGGTCAGTCTCGACTGTGAACTGAGGACCGCCGTAGATGTAGTGGTGGAAATGCTCGCATGCCCAAACGATGGCGAGACACTCTTTCTCAATCTGGGCATAGCGCTGCTCGGTAGGAGATAGAGAGCGGGACGCATAGGCAACAGGGCGCCAGCGGGAGCCATCAGGCTGCAGGAGGACAGCACCCAGTCCGTAGCTACTGGCATCAGCACTAATACGGACGGGCTGGTCGGGCGAGAACAGTGCCAAGCAGGGAGCAGTAGTAGCGAGTTCCTTGAGGCGACAGAAGGCAGTTTCTTGCTGGGTGTCCCACTGCCAGGCGGTGTCGGCCTTCAGGAGAGCACGGAGCGGGGCACTGACATTGGCCATATCTGGCACAAACTTCGACAGAAACGTGAACATACCCAGAGCACGGCGTAACTCGGGCACATTGGTCGGTGACTTCAGAGCTTGGATGGCAGACACCTTGGCTGGGTCTGGGCGGACACCGTCAGCACCGATGAGGTGACCCAGGAACGTCAGGGACTTCATACGGAGGCGACTCTTGGCGGGGTTGAGGAGTACGCCTGCAGAAGCGAGAGCTGCGTGGACAGCAGTGAGGGCAGCATCGTGCTCAGCTAGAGTGGCACCGAACACGAGGATGTCATCCATGAAGACGACCACGTTGGGAATGTGCCCAACGATTTCCAGTAGGCGACGCTGGAAAACCTCTGGCGCACTGGTGATACCAAAGGGTAGACGGTTGAAGTGAAACCGGCCAAACGGTGTCATGAACGTAGTGAGTGACGCACTGTCGTCAGCAAGTGGCACTTGCCAGAACCCAGACGCCGTGTCAAGCGACGAGAAGACCTTGGCTCCGGACAGCTTGCCCAGGGTGTCTTCAATGGTCGGCAGAGTGAAGTGTGAGCGCTTCACGGACTGGTTCAGGCGTTTGAGATCCACGCAGATGCGGACGGAGCCATTCTTCTTGAGCACGGGCACCATGGGCGCGCACCAGTCGGTCGGATCAGTGACTGGAGAGATGACTCCCATCTGGACCATCCGGTCAAGTTCGGTCTTGACCTTAGCTTGCAGGTGGATGGGAACTCTTCGTGCGGTCTGGCAGTGATATGGTTGGGCATTGTCTTGCAGCTCGATGGTAGCTGCAGGACCGGACATGCGACCAATGGCAGGAGGAGCGGACGGAGGGCTTGCGGATGCCTCGGATACATCGCAAGACAGGAGGTTCAGGTCCTGGCACACACTGCGGCTCAGGAGGTTGCTGGGGCCATCAACAACAATAACACGGAACGTGACGTTGCGGTCCTTCCAGGAGCTGGCAGCAACAAATGCGCCGTGTATGGGTAGAGGTTGGCCGTCAGGTCCAGTGACCTTAGTGGAGATCGGCGTGAGCTTAGGTTGAGGACTGAGGCTATTGTAGGAAGGCAGTGACAGGAGTGTGCAGTCTGCGCCAGAGTCCAGCTTGAACAACACTGACTGGCCATTGATGGGGAGCTCAACAAGCCAGGGTTCAGTTGAGTCAGGAATGGATACTGAACTCAAAACACAGATACTGGGTTCCTGTGACTCGGATGAAGCACTACCCATAAAACAACTCGCACTAGCACTAGCAGAATCACTCACCGGATGGTCAGACATCTCGCTCGCGCCCACTTGACGAGAGCTACGACACACTTTGGCAAAGTGACCACGACGCTGGCACTTACGGCACTCGACGGACCAAGCAGGACACTCGCGGCGCGAGTGACCACTGGATGAGCCACAGCCGGAGCAGGGAGCGCGCGGAGCAGAGGTTGCTGGAGGGCCACGTGTCGAGTAGCTAGGCGCGGACTGGCGAGATGCAGCGGGAGCATTCTTGGGTCTGCCAGTTCCACGAGATTGTTTGTGATGTCCGCGAGCGACAGCGGCTGCGACGGAGGGCTGAGTGGCTGCGGAGCGCTGAGTGGCTAGCTGGATTTCGAGGGTCTCAGCTGCCTTGGCCTCCTTGAGAACATCGGCGAGGGTGAGGGAGCCTATGTCCTTTTTCTGCATCGCCTTACTCACTTCAGAATCAGCCATGTGGGCGACGAGGTGATCGCGGATCCGTTCTGACGGCTTGTCGAAACGGCATCTCGCCGCGACAGAGTGGAGTCGGCTTGAGAACGTAGCTACGGACTCACCGGGGAGCTGGCGGAGACGAGCGAACTGCGTCCGTTCGTGGATAACATTGTCCGCAGGTGCAAAGTACTTGTCGAAAGCATCGACCACTTTATCGAAGTCGTCCTTGTCGGAATCTTGGGCGAAGGACAACTCACGCTGGAAGATATCATCCGCAGTTGGGCCCAGAGAGTAGATGAGAGTGGAGATTTGGACATCTGCGGATTCGGAAGAGAGTTTGGTAGCAATCTGGAAGCGTGAGAATCGGCTTTTCCAGCGGGGCCAATTCTCAGGTGCGGAAAAGTCGAAGCTTTCAGGGGGCTGAAATTTCGCCATGGCGAGCGGGTCCGGTGGCGAGGGTTCGGGGTACCAGTTCTGACACCAAGTGTTGCGTTACTGCAACAGCACTAAGGGTAAATGCCCATGCACACTCTCTCAGTCCAACACAACCATCACACTCCGGTAGGAATTACAAACTATACTTGATGAAGACAGAAGGAGAAGTGGAGAACACAGGGAACAGAGTAGGCATGTAAACAGCACAGGCACGCAACAGTTACCGCTGGTGCATGTGCGTACGCGAAGGTGTGAAATAGGAAGCGGGGTCAAATTACATATGGATGCACCATGCCAAATATATAGGCACAGGTAGGTGACTGTACAGGTGGGTAGGTGGGGGCTGAAAAACACTAAAACTTTTCGTTTTGTAAAAACAATTGGTAACCCCGGACGGCCCCTTAACAATACTGGTCTTACAGTAGTAAAACTTGGTCAGTTTGGATTTGCTTCTTGTGTGTAAATTAATGCACGTTATGGCTCGCATGAGACTCTGCAGGACTGAGTTTTCTGAATCCGTAGGAACGCCACCACCCTCAAGGATCAAGGCAAAGATGGAGCTCGTAAAGCGGTGTACAGAGAGAACACGTCATAAAATGGGAAAGCAAACAGGATTGAGACGGTCCACTCAGCGGGAGAGATAGAACCATTCAACAAAAACTTCTTGCACAAAAATTCGGACTGGGCATAATAAAGTCAGCGCTGTACCTTTTACTTGTGGCTCTGGATTGCACCTCGACATCCTTTGGAAAGCTGAGAGGATCTGAACAAGATACGACAAACACGTGCAGATACTAGGAAATTAGGCCGCCTGCCGCGTACTGTTCTTTTCCTCTCCGAAACACAACACTTGCAACTTGCAAGCCAGATACGAAAGAAAGAAAGACAGAAAGAAAGAAAAAAAGATTTTTCATGATTCTTGTTCGCATAGCTTCCCCTTTTATTGATCTTCGCATCTCTTGAGCCACACAAGTTGTGTGGAATGTTGCTTTGCGTTCTGGAATCGTGGTTTGACCGTATTGTCCAATGGTCTTGCCAGTATCGTCATCGACATGCATAAACATCCGCCAACGTCCTTCACAGCTGAGACTTTCAGCTCGTGCTTATCTTGGTTGCGCTCACCTTCCCCTCCGTATGTTATTTCTATAACTTAGAACCTTCCAAGTTGGAAGGCTGTTGGAGTGCGCATCCAAGATGTGCTAGAGCTGTTAGCCAGTTAGTTGTAGAACATCAGTACCGTCGGTCAGTGTCGTGCAATGTTATCGCATGAGCTGATTGTTTAGTAACTGGTGGTGTTAGTGGACAGTATAGCGTAACTTGTAGTTCCTTGGTCTTTCTCTTTTGTATAGAAAAAAAGAAAGAAAGAAAGAAAAAATCATCAGTCACACCACCGGGCCGCGGGACTACTACTTTGAAATTCTCCATGAAGCCCAAATTTGACATTGCAACGTACAGATACTCACAAAAATTAAACAGAAATCAAACAAAGTACAGCTCAAAGATAACAAGCATATTGCTGGCAAAGCAAAGTCACAATAGAACTAACTTACCATTGTTCTCATCATCTTCTATTGTAACTGGATCAGTAGAGGGAGTAGCATTGACTGGTCGCCGTCTAGATAACAAACACAACCGGAAAGGAGAACAGAACAGAAAGGTCAGTCACGAATGAACTTGTTTTGCAATTATTTCAAAATCACACGAAGCGGAACTTCTCGGTTAGCCTTGAGACAAGACACTATCTGCTCTGTATTGCAGGTTGCCTTGAGTACAGAACACATTGCAGCTTAACTAGGAACTGTTGGGGCTGAAGAAATGTGTCCTGGATGTGGAGGTGTCCTTTGTGGAGAGGTGTCTGCTAAGAGACGTTCCATTGTATTTTTGATCAATGAAAAAAGCAGAAAATATACAACCTATCCACAGCCAACAAACACCGATTCATTATGACCGAAACGTTTTTTTCTCTAGAATTAACCAGTGACTACTTCTGGCTGGGAAGGAGAGCAAAAGAGAATGCACAGATCACAGCAGCATAAGATAAACTGTGCAAGGTGTAGCGACAGAAGTGACACGAGAGCCAGTGAAGAACTTTTTTCTAGTCCTGAAAAGTTGACAGTATTGTAGGTGACAAAGTGAAGGCAGATAACAGTAAGTACACTACATATGACGAAGGACAGCAGAGGAGATTGGATATAACAACCTTGCAAACAGCGACAAATTGAGGTTCTCGGCTCAGTTCTGTCGCCTCGAGTCTTGTAGCAAGTTCTCGCCGAAGATTGGGCTTAGTGACAGATAGAAATAACAGTGACTGTCTTCGTTTCCCTGCATGTTTCTCAAGCATGTTCATTGCTATAGATACCATGGCAATACTGCAAGATGAAGAACTACCGTATTACCCCGAATATAAGTCACACACCTTTTTACACTTAACTCCTCAGGCAAAGAAGGGGATGCAACTTACAATCGAGTGTGACATCCTACTTGTATTTTTATGTATGTTGTATTTGTGGATTCTCAACAGGCCTTAGCCTAAATCGAGGGA